GAAAGAAAGAAAGAAAGAAAGAAAGAAAGAAAGAAAGAAAGAAAGAAGACATGTCCTCAATTACAAGGTATACAGTATATATAATGGATATGTGTGTGCCTCCTACATAGGGACTAAATCTACATTGCTGTCCTCTGTTCAATAAATGTAGACCCAGTTGCACACTCAGCAGTCTAGCATATGCAAATGAATCAGATAATTGATCCTTTAATCAATTTGATAGAAAGTAGCTTTTTTCTAACAACCCAGAGCATCCAGTGATCAGCCACTGTTCATGTCATGTCTATTGTTGGAAGTTTCCTTTTTTTTCTTCTGTTTTAGACCAACAAACATTATTCAGTGGGACCTGATTAATACATGTGTCACCAACAGCAAAGGATAAATTTGTTGTAAATGGTCCCAAATCCTAAATGGGCACATTTTCAGATCTGACACTTACAATCCCAATCCATAAAATGCTAGGGTACTATGTAAATGAAAAAGTAAACAATGAATTATTTGCAAAATTTCAAAAAATATTACATAACTCATCTGAAAAAGGAAAACAACTTCCTCATCATTAAATCATTTAAACTCTGTTTGTGCAGAAATATTTTGGGACAGGTCTCCTCCCTTTGACCAGACGCCCTGAAAACCTGTCATTTGCAGCATTTGCTTAAGTGAAATAACTGCGGTTGGAGAATTGACGTCAGATGAATATTCATGCTAACATCAGGGAGCCCTGCGTGCTCATGCTGTTGAATGTCGCGTTGTGTCGTGTGATGATGTCTGCGTGACGGGTCTGTGACATCAAATCACGGTGTCTTTTTGACTCATGGCTACAAAACGGGCCAAAAGTTGCTCGTCTGAAAACAGTTGGTCCCGTGTCAGATCCTCCCAGTGGACTTTTGATGAGGGACCAGCTGCTTCCATCGCCACCAGCAGATGGCAGCATGATCTAATGACCCCCCCCCCCCCCCCCCAAAGCACCCCAAAAAAAAAAGATTCCATGTTTTTATTTTCTCCCTGTGTTTGTGTGGGTCTAAATCCAGCAACTGTGACATAAGTGTGAATTAGTGTTTCAGCCACTTGATTGACTGGGAAGTTTGTTTATGCCCTGTGTTTGGCATTTGTTCTTTTTTTCTTGTGTCTTGTTTAAGTTCTGTAAATGACATCATCCCAAGGGGTGATGAAAATGCTTTGACCTTTGAACCCTCTGTGACCAGTGGAATCCACGTACCTGGGCTACCCCGCAGTTATAGCAGTCAGTACTTTCTATGTTACTTGTCAGTCTCAATCATTTCCCAGCTGCTGTACACCACTAAGTGTGCTTAAGGGAACAGCATATGTCAGTGGAGGTGACCTCCTGGGTCACAGAGTAATGGGAAGGCAGCGTCATGACTGCATTAAGAACACCTTTTCTGACTAACAGCCATAATCTGAAGTCTTTACTGCTACGTCAATCTCAACGGCACAGCCATTAGATACGGGACAAACAGAAACATTTGTATACCTGTTTTAATTTCCTTCCTTTCCTATACTGTAAACCTAAAGAGAATGATTCCCCCTCTCCCCCCCCTCAACTTGGAATCAAGCTGCTGTGCTCTGCATTGTAAAATCTGGTCCCAGGACACTAATCACTGGGGAGTGGTTTAATCAAAATTGTAACCAAATGGCCTATTTCTAACTCGCAGGGCTGGTAAATAGATCCATAAGTTGTAATACAGGGGGGGAAAACAGCCTTCCCTCATCCAGTTAAATCACTCTGGGTCGATAAATAACAACAGGGCTGCTGTTGGGAAGGAGCTCCTGGCCCAGAGCCAGCTGACCTGCTGACAGTCACAGTGATTTGTCCACAGCCACTCCCACACTAATCAAACAGCCGTCAATACTCATAACCTGGCACAGAGATTGGATGTTTCGGAACATTTCGGAGCAATCTCAGTCAGTTTCTTCATACGTAATCCTTGAATGGATTTCCTGGCATGGGCTGTATGTCTACAGGTCTCTTTACGCGATTTTTAAAAGATACAAGACTGGAATTTGACGTTCCAGTAACTTAAACTGAACCTGATAGAATAAGTAATGTGCTTGGATTTGTTGTCTTTCGGCATGATTCGCATTCTGCTCATAGTCACAGACCTCATTAGATATTTTGGAGGATAATGGATGGATGGATGGATATCTGGGATTGTAAGATCCATCCTCCCATGACACTGAGATTAGAAGCCCAGCAGCCAGGAAATGATTTTGCAATGACTCATCAACATGAACTAACGTGAGAGTTGACTGACCACTCCTGATGACTTTTCTTTATCCATTTGATTTCTAATTTTCTCCATATATGCCCAACTTATCTGATTGTAAATGACTTGTTCGTCACTTATGTGATTATGTGAAAGTTGATGTTTTAGTCCCATCCCTAATATGGACAATTAAGTAACATATCAAGACTCCAAAGTGAAATCCTCCAAAAATATGGACGTCCAGACGTGTGGACGAGTTTTGCTCTGTGTGCATTAGGAGCACTGATAAAAAGTGCATTTACTAAAGCAGCTTATCGGATACCGCTGTTATGACAAACAACATATTTAACAGCTGGAACGAATACACGTTCACAAAATAAACTGTCCTGCTTCATCAACCGTCAAGATTTGATGCTGTAAATCTGAATATTCTGAATAAAATCACCTTCAAAACAATCAAGTCATCACTCTTTTTGTTATTTCTTCTTTTCCTCGTAAAAATCTATCTTGAATTTCTCATAAATGTTATGGCTTTCTTTCTTTCTCAGATGCCTGTGCACGCTCAGACGTGAACAAACACATTGTGTGGGCACACAGGTGAGTAAACATTGTGTTGCTGTACTTTGGAATCATGGATTCTTCTTTACGACACCGCTCTGGCTTTTGGGTCAGAATCAGACAACGACAAAATGGCCGGGGCCTGTGTATTATTTTTAATTGCTGCGTCTCAACTGAAGATTTATAGCCTTGCTGCTGAGATTCCAGAGGAAAATGCAGGTAAATAATAGCAGAACATTCAGAAGGTAGAAGGCAGCTAAAGTTGAAGTTAGAAGAAGGCCAGTGGCCAAACAACTGATTATGAAGTATTTCTTAAAGACCCTGACACAGACTTCAAATGTTTCAGTGTCCTTCTGCTTATGGATGTGAGTTTTCATTTTTTTTAAAAAGCTCACTTTTGGAACTAAATCTAAGGACTGAATAGTAAATCTGAAGTAATTCCAGATACATTTATCTATTAATGCTGGCGTTCGTTATGCAGCAAGCTGTATTTCACCTGATACAACCTCAGAAACAGTCAGCACCAATAGAACAAACCAAGATTTGTGGTGAAAAGTGGTGACTTTTAAAATTCAATTATTGTCTAAATTTATTAACTGAGATATTTACGTTTCACAAGCCTTTATTTATTATAGTTGCGGAAATGTTATCAGAGTTGTGCAATTAAATTACTGTAAATTAAATCAACGTCATCTCAGGACACACAAATTCATTCAGTATAATCCAGCTCAATCCAGTTAAGCATAATGCTATTTTTAGCCAATTAGACCGGATTAGATCAAATCCAAAAATGTTCAGTTCATGTGATGCTTATTGAGAAAAGATTGTGTTTCTAAGGCATCCAACAGAACCCATGAAATCACAAACACCCTTTTAGTAGTCCACATTTTACACAAAATCTGATAGATTAATTTCCATCATCTTCTACCTCTTAGTTGTTCTTTTTTTTCATTTAAATGAGATAGATAAATGAAAAAAAACTCATTCCAAGTCTAGTCTAGCATGAACCTTTGAATGAAACAATGACCATGGAACGTACACGTTTTGAACCCTGAAAGAAGCTTTGGGGCACTTCTGAAGATCTACAACGAAGCAGCAAGACTAAACGTCCTTTTTGCCGTTGTATTACCGACACAGGAGCAGTGTTTGTGTCCCAGCAGACGGCACACATGGTGCTGCACCGCCAGCGCAGGTTCAACAGCGGCCATCTTGAAGAAATCCTTAAAAAAGATAACCTGGAGCGCGAATGTTACGAGGAAGTCTGCTCCATGGAGGAAGCCAGGGAAGTGTTTGAGAACGATGAGAAAACTGTAGGTTATATCCTTACACATCAGTGACTAATCATCCTTTTGTGTGTTTTCAGTTATGAAGGTTTTGACTAAGAGCATTTTAAAGCTAGGCCTGTCCCTCATGTCAGTGTTTCTCTTTCAGATGGAATTCTGGGCTGGCTACATTGGTAAGGCCAATGACAGACAAGTTCTCGTTCTCACTACAATCAAAATGATCTAATCAGCTTTAATCTTATGATCTGTGTGTGTGTGTTTTACTCTTATGTGTAGATGGAGACCAGTGTAAGCCACCACCCTGCCAAAATGGAGGTGTCTGTGAAGATGGAATCAGTACCTATGTTTGCTGGTGCAAACCGAACTTCAGTGGCAAGAACTGTGAGATCGGTGAGCGCAGCACGCTGGATGTGGAAAAGAAAAATCCAACCGGACCAATTTTTAAGTATAGGTGTTAATCTGTGTTTTTTCTAATTTTTTGTTTGTTTGTTGTTTTTGTTTTGTCAGAGGTGACCAAGCAGTGTGTGGTTAACAACGGGGGATGTTCGCATTTCTGTGTGATGCAGGGGCGGCAAGCGAAGTGTCAGTGTGCTGCTGGTTACAAACTTGGAGCAGATAAGAAGAGCTGTGAGCCAAATGGTAAAACTAAATCAAATGAAAAGAGAAACACTTATCAGTATCCTTTGCCATTTTTTTGGAATTTTTCAGCGCGAAAATGTGAACCGTCTGTGAGGAATGGGGAAAACTGCTACGATACTAAGACCCACTCTTAAACATTCTTAAACAAATCTCAAACTTGACCGATTTGACATTTACATCCACATCCTATTTATTTTTAAACTTTTGGTACCTCCCTTCTTGTTTTGTTCTTTGCCGCCTCAGGGCAGTTCAGCTGTGGCCGCGTGAGCGTGCAGTCGAGCTCCGTCACCAGGACCATCAACCCGGCACTTTCTCCAAACCTGCAACACCCCCCAACGTCCATGGAAAATTCCTCCGACGCGCAGCAGGATGACTACTACGAGGATTACACCACACAGCCGTACGATTACTCGGATTTGGTGAACGTGTCAGACACGGTGAACGTCTCACTGGGCCCTGCGGTGGAGCTGGATTCTGCCTCCCCTGCGAGTCCCCCTCACGGGGCCACAGGCAGTACGGTAGCAAGCCTCACAAGGGCCAAGAAGCCGCTCTCCTGGGCTTTTCCCACGCTCCCCTCCATCAGAGCTGAGGACAACCTGAACCAGAGGATTGTGGGAGGTGATACGGCTGTTCCTGGAGAGATACCATGGCAGGTAGTGCAGTATTACAGTTAGCATAGAGGACGGAGGTAAGATAGAATTTTAAAAGGCATGATGGAGACATTCTTTTTTACTTACCTACTATTAGATAAAGATGTGTAGTTTAGACTCTGTGGCTTCTTTACCATTGTATTTACTTGAGCCATCCTATGGGAATTGTTTTTTTGCGCTGTGATTTGGGATTTTTTTGTTGCTGCGAGTTTGTTGAAGCACCTTCTTCGGACTTGTAGGTGTCGCTGATGTATCGGTCAGCGAGCCTCAGCAGAGCGCAGCCCTTCTGTGGAGGCTCCCTGCTCAGTGAGTCCTGGGTCGTCACGGCAGCCCACTGTCTGATGCAGGCCGACATCGCCAAGAGAACCTTCTTCGTCAGAGTTGGTGAGAAAAGAACATACCACACAGCTAATTTACACTCGATCTCTCGGACTTTGGTTGACATTTTCTAAATACGGTTGTTGATCACTGCTTTCAGGTGAGCATGATGTGAACGTGGACGAGGGTCCAGAGAGAGACCATGAGGTGGAAGAGCGGCATCTTCACCCTCTCTATGACTTTCAGCAGTCCCAGTACAACCATGACATTGCTCTCCTGAAACTCGCCACTCCGGTGGAGCTGTCTGACCACAGGCGTCCCGTCTGCCTGGGCCCCAAAATCTTCATTCAGAACCTCCTGAGGGAGTCCAGCAGTTCTCTGGTGAGTGGCTGGGGACGGCTGAAGTTCCAGGGTCCGGAGGCCACCCAGCTTCAGAAGCTGGCGGTGCCCCACGTGGACCGTACCCAGTGCAAACAGAGCAGCCAGGATCACATCACGCGCTACATGTTCTGCGCCGGGTTCCAGGACAAACAGATGGACTCGTGCCAGGGGGACAGCGGCGGCCCTCATGCCACCAAATACAAAGACACGTGGTTCCTGACGGGCATCGTCAGCTGGGGGGAGGAGTGCGCCAAGGAGGGAAAGTATGGAATTTACACCCGGGTCTCCCGGTACTATCCATGGATCATCCAAAAGACGGGGATCGGAATGAACAACTGACAAATGGGACCCCGGTCAATGAAACGGTCATTCACACAAGCAAAGTTTGGTGTCTGAAGAGGTTTTGATTTTAAAGATTCCTACAAAAATCCTCTCCCCCCAGCAAAACATGTACAGCCTCCTGTATTTGAATACCTTTGATGGAATGGATCATGGTTTCTTAAATGTTTGTCTTTCCTGCAGAAAGGCAGCATCTGCATGGCATATTTTATCAATAAAGCATGTAAGATGGAGGATCCGAATGATTCATTCAGACAAATGTGTGGGGCAACGGCAGATTTTCAATTTGTCTGAAGCCCTTTACTTTACTTGTTTCTTTTCTCTTTTACATAAACTCTGAATACTAAACCCACTGTTTTGCAAGTAAAAGAAAAATGTTTTGTTTTTAATCATATGTTTCTTAGAATCTCCCAGTTTCTTTGGTAAAACAGGTCCATGTTCACAAACAAATTTAGAGTAGGCATAACGTCAAGTGAGATTTTGGTAATCCATAATTTGAATAAAAATATTATTATGTAGGAATACTCAAACAAATCTGGATGTGTTTGAGTGACACAGCATGGGCCACTCTGCAGCATTAAAAATAGTCAATTGTACAACTGCATGTTGGAGCGAGTGAAATTTAAATGTACAAATGATCCATTCAAAAAGAGTTACGAGTCTTTCATGACAACAAACCACTGGGCGGAAGTTTAATCATGCAAAACAGCTAAATCCACTATCTGATGTTAAGATTCTATGCAACTCTGTAATTATGCAAAGAGCTTTTCTATTCTAAAGGTTGTAAACAAATCACCAGAGTCAGATTGAATCAAATGAAATACTCATGTGCTTATATTTTAGAAAATAATAATATACATTATGCGTTATCATACAAGCTTTCTCTACAGTTGAAATATCCACAAAGTGCAAAATTAGCATAAGCAGCATACACATTTTTAAAGTACAGTGAAAAAGCCAGTGCAAAATAAAATGAATAAATCATTTTACAATCTCCTATGTCACGGTATAGTCAGTGCTGAGTGGACTTCTAATCAATTAAACGTTATTTTTTCTAAAGGATCAGTGGGCACATATCTTTTATATATCCCAACACTCAATAACCATGTGACTCTAATGGTCCCACTGTGGACGAAAACTGCTTTGAAAATCATTCCTTAATCAGTGTTAAATTCACTCCAATCCTCCAGAATGCTCAGAACTGATTAGTCGGATGACATAACAAATATCTTGGGAATCTTCTGTTTTGTCACTTAATAGCTGAGCATGAGGATTTGCCAATCCTAGGGCAGTGTTCCTATTTAGACCCTTGTATTGAACCAAATTCATGTCTAAAATGTATATATTCATAGTTCACTACAGGCAGCAGCGATGGCCAGTAATCACACCGATTTTTCAGAGATGTGGTGGCAGTGCTCAGATGACCTAATTCTTCCCTCACTGCTGGCCAACAAGACCATAATGCCTTCATCTTGTCACCTTACTATTCGACAGACCCCACAAATTTGATACATTTGACAAAGTGATACAGTTGATTAAACAAACCATGTTGTAACCGTAACTGATCAGAAATGTACAGAACCTTTTCAAACGGTTACTTTCCATAACCGAGTACAGTTTCCCTGTTGGCCGAAATCCGCTGTGCATTCAGATATAAAGCAGTGGATGTGTGCAGCTGTTTTTTGTCCATGCAGAGCTGCAAAATAAGGAAGGTAAAGACTTTGGTGGACAAGGTGAACAACTATTAGCTGCAATTCATGAAGTAATAAGACATTCTCAGCATAAGCAGAAATCCTTCAAATTAATTTTTAAAGGCTAAAAAACTAAAGAGTTAAAACCATCAGCAACAGCCAGTGTTGTATGTTTTCCTAACAGAGTGCCGTTTGTGTTAAGAATCGAGCATTAGCGCAGTAAATTACCTATTCAAAGGTTTGTACCATGCAGTGCAACATTTCTCATTTTGTTTACATAAAATTAGAGATGTCTCTCTCTTGCAGAAATACATCAGTGTGTCACATTGCAAAATCAGGGACTGGGAATTAAAACTATATTTGGTCATTAACACTGCCCTGAGGGATTTTCTTTGATTAAAAACAAAATAGGATGAATAGATAAAAAACAATACCCTCCAGAATATCTTGAAATCTATCAAATAAATGTGAATACATTCCCAAGGAATATCAAGGAACATTTCAAGATTCACAGCGCTGCTTAGAAGCAGGATTAGAAGCTCAGGGTCGTTCACTTTGCAAACATGTTTTGACGTATCCTCTGTGGAATGGTGTAAAACCATTGGCAGGACTTTTAACAGTTTATGGATTTGGATAATCCACAAGTGAAAATAAAAATGCACAAGGACTCAGACATAAACAAACAGTTCATTGGTGCAACTTGAAGACAAGACATCCGCAGGCTACCATTCTTAATGTTATAACACTGAACCATTCCTGCTGCCACATTATTAATGTTATTCACAGGGGAGGGGGGGTATGCATTATGCATTTGTTTACTCAGTGCGCAACCAATCCCAGCATTTCCACCAAGTGGCTGAACAATATCCCAGTTACAGACTGGAGAAGGGCACTCTTCTCTTTGCCCTCTCTGTATCACATAAATGCAGCTGAAGACAACATGCACTATTGTACACAGAGAGGAGTAACCTTGTTTTTATTTTATTCACGGATGAAATCTATAAGCTCCTACAATGAATTATTACATAAAGCTTTTGTTCTGTAACCTTCACTTTTACACAAGTAGAAGCTGTGTTGATTGGCTTAGCTGTTTGGCACATGGATGTCATGTCAGCCCGGACATGAACGCTCTCTGTTACACCCAATAAGAAAATAGAAATGATATACCTATTTTAACAAAAGTCCACACCGTAAATATAAATAAACACTGCTGTTTAACTCTTTCAGTCCAAATGATCTACTGCATCACTGCTGCAAAAGGTAGATAAAAAGATGGCTTGTATGTGCTTTCCATTGTTACAGTCCTCGGAGGTCCATTCTGTGTTTTTACATTCTTGTGAGATGTATCCTTCAGAGTCTGAAAGGAAAAGTGAGTGCCTGACGCTGTGCTTCAGTTTGGGCACAGCTTGGTCAGATGTCCACATTCTGTTGGAAAATTGATGGAATATGCAGGTCTGTGGGTTCGGGGGGGGTATTTGGGGAATAATTTAGCGAGAAAAAGCCACGAAAACAGAACAATGTACACTCATCATGAACACTGTCGTCTTTCCCTCCACCCTGATTGTCTCTTAGTAGGCCTCTCCCAGAATCCTGTGCAAGTCCTCTGGCAGAACACGGCCTTCTTCACCTCGACTAATATTCTTTACCATCCTGTAAACAAGAACATGAAACGTTTTTTATTTACGTATCTGATTCCTAATCCTCAATCCTATTTGTTTCTGAATGTGACCTTAGCTTTAAGAATAAGTTCTTAGGCATTTAGCACGTTACCACATTCCTGATGAATCCTCGTGCATCAGCTGGATGACATCGCCACAGTTAAAGATGATGTCATCAGTGCTGGCCATGCTGCTCTCCACCATGACCCTGTACCTGCCTGCCACCTACACAGGAAAGCAGATTTTATATGAACGCACAGTGGAGCAGAGCATTTATCCATTGTCACACATACAAGACTGTTCTAAATTTATATCTGAACCCAAGATCGCAGCAATAAATTTAAAGTAAAAAATGGTGCTACAAAGGATTAAAGGCTTGTGTTACATAAAAAAAACACACCTACAGGATCCTCTAGTGTTCTCTCTCACAGAAAACGAGTTGGAGGAGCCAGACATTGATAACACAATTGAGAATCAAAAGAGCATTTCAGAAAGCAAAACAAATCTTTTTGATTCAGACAATTTCATACTCACTTTGTACTCACTGTGTCCAATCTTTTACACTGTATTTTTATTTATATTTTGCACACACACTTTAATTTAGCAGAAGATGGCACTGTATGATCACAGATGTTGTATTCCTATTACATATCGGTCATACTTCGCTCACATATGTCAGAAGAGTGGGCCTATGAGCTGGGGGTTATGAAGAGGAATAAACCGAAAAGACTAAAAGGTTGGCATGTGGAATCACAAGGATGTCTGGTTCGTGTGTCCAACCCATGAGAAGTGGGTAGAACTCAGTCAGTAATCCAAGAAAAAGATTACGATTATGATGTTATAAAGATTATGATGTAATATGTTATGAAAGTGTCCAGTTCAAGGCAGGCCGCTCTTTTTCCATCCCAATCAGCATGGTTTTTAATGTGTAAAACACCAAGTGAAATAGTGATCAAACACTGCCGGTTGGTATGGATGTCAAATTAAAGTTTGACAATCATACAAAAACCATAATGGAATCCTCCATTATGCATGTATTCATGTTTAGTGGCAAAAAACTCTGGATCAACCAGTTAATTATGGTTCTCCAGCCCCAGCAAACACGTGTCCTGTGATCATTTAAGAAATCTCACCAGTGGGGAAGGCTGATCCTCATCGTCTGAGTCTGATAAGGCGGATAGATCTGTAGCGCCCCAGTCCTCCAGGCCCTCACAGATTGCCACAGAGTGAGCAGGAACAGGCCAACCTGCAGACGACAGACAGCTGAGAGAAGTGAAAGAGGTACTGCTAAACTACCAGCTCGATCATTCTGTGAACTATACCGATCAGGATGAAATACTGTTGCAAATACTGAGCAGACACCTGGATGTTTACCTCAAACCTGACACTGCCAGCAATACAGTATCTCACTGCATTCAGTCACGTCCCTTAGTGAAAGTTAGTTTGTAGTTTTTATCATTTATTCGCATATTTGTTGATGAACAAACATGTTTTAGCTTGTGTTCATCTGGTTATAAAGCTCATTTTTTATCAACTTGACCAAAACTCTTTTACAATTAAATAAAAAGAATAAAAAAAAATGTTTAAATGACTTGAGAACAGTGTCAACCACTTACTGCGTCGCGGTGAGTGAACCACGGGGTCAGAGTGGGCGGGGCTACTGTACGTGGACTCCTCCCCTCTGAACCTGTGGGAGTGGCTTGTTGCGGAGGAGCTGTGAGGAACAGGGAGACACGCTGAGCAGCCTCCCACCGACGCGCTGCCCCACGCCACACACATCTCTGATGCACTAAACCACATCACCACGGAAACAAAGACACGGGCACGACAAACAAAACAAACAAAAAAAACAACAACAGCGTTCACCGTGTCACAAACGAGCTCATCCACATTCAGTAGGTTGATACAGCATTCCGGTCAGTCCACAATCACATATATTTCAGCATCTGATGGCAAAGTTTGTTCCAAATTGTAAGACAAATATTGATCATCAGATTGCTGCAATATATGGAACTTCAATTTGGTCTCAAAAATATTGTCAACACACATACAGTTCTGGGTTAAACATCCTTTTTCAAAAGAACACCACTGTGGTTTAGCTTGCTCTAAGAATCAGATGGGTGAAAGCTGTCCTGTGGAATGTGCTCTATTGTTCTAGCAATGGTTGTAGCGTTAGACACTTTGAAAACTGTAACATGAGTGTATTTGAATGAAAAATGATGTTAGGGTTAATAATTTTCCATTGATAAGAAGAAAAAAAACAACAGATACTTTTTTTCTGTCAAAATTTCATAGTTCAGTTCAAGGTTTTACTCTGCCAATGACTACTGCAACAAAAAAAAACACTTACAAATGTTGGATATATTTTGTCTATGATAAGTCAATAGTAGATGACAGAAAACTGTTGTCTTTTTTTCATGAAATTGGTCCCCAAGACAACAATCTTTTTAAATGGGAACAGTTTCCTGTACAATGAATGAAAACGGTATGTATTGTGATGCTCGCAAGGCATTCAGATAAATCTCAGCATGCTGGCATGCCACTGCACACACACAAGCGCCCTGTAAAGCAGCGATAATGTAACAACACCTTCCTGGAGATGCTGAACGTTTGACAAACAAGCAACAACTGCAAACTGCCAGGGAAAGTTAGTGGAACAGTTTGAGCTCCATTCCAGTTAAGTGCGGAGTGCACGGTCACCCTCCAAACGGAGTCAGAAACACTACTGTCAAACACACTGTACAGCTTGACAAAGTGTTACTCAACACGTTTTCACAATCTAATTAAGTGGCTGTTGAACCATTTATAAGGGGACAAAAGAAAAACCTGAAGAAGCAACTAAAGCAGAGCTCAAGCGCTAATTATAAAAGAAAAGCAGCCTGGGCATGTGAAGAACCAAATAAAGCCCTTCTTATTCGAGGAATTAAGATGTGAAACAGCAGCCAGGTGCCCTTAAGTTCAAGTTCACGTGATTTACTGAACATCAGTATGTCTCAGCACTTCTATAAAAGCAGAGTTTAGGGAGTCAGTTGGTGTGATACATGCTGGTTTATGTTAATACAATGCCAATGAGCAATAACATCAGTAATAACCTTCAAAAGTAATTAATATTGCCCATCAAGATGATTTTGTAGAAAATACCAATAGATAAGGGCTTGGATCGTCAGAAATGTCTCAAAAATGTTTTGCCTTTTAACCACGTGAGCATTAAATTAATTTCTCAATTCAGTACGTGAGTTGACCTGTTCTTCACACCACAAAACCCATCACCTCCTGCACATTGAACGTGTGGTTTACTTTCGAAACATAAGCTGTGCACGATGAGTTCATGATTTCAGCATTATAAAGTTTTTGTTGATAAAACATTTACGATGTTGTGTCATTCTTGGATAAATATGAAGAGAGAATCACCTGTCAGAGAGAGGGTTGTCTGGAAGAGGGAAAGAAGGAGCTCCATCTGAGAAAGCGAGGGATGAAACAGAGACATGATTTGAATTTAAATTGAACTAAAAGACAGAAGGAAATTTAATAGAGAGGAGTTTTGCCAGTAAATCTTAGCAGACGAGTCACACAATAGTTCTGCACTAACTATCGACAAAAATCTAGGTAAAAAAGACAGGGAAGATTTCAGTTAAAACCACATCAGAGATAGAAACCTTGCTGCAGCTTCTGCTGGTTGGTGAGAATTTTTCGGATCTCCGTCAGCCAGGCAGCTTTGACCTCAGCCGTGGGAGCCTTTGTAGACAAGCACGCAAAGGAACAGAGCACAGCTTATTACGCACTGACATCCTGCACTGCCAGATATGAAAAGGAAAACAGAGAGTGAAATACCTGAACTATGTACACCACTTCTCTGCCACTGTACCAGATCTCAAATTTCTTCACATCTCCTTTGACGCTTTCTGTGATGCCCACTGCACTCATCTACAGAAAGAGAGAAAAAAGTCGTTACATTTCCCTTTAACCTGCAATTTTTTCATTGTGTAATTAAATGAAAAATTTGGTTAAATCCAACCCAACTATTAGCTTTATGGAGAATGGAGATGGAGAACTGTATGGTCACTCCACTGGTGCAGCCAAAAGGGTTTGATAAAGGGAATGAGATGTGTGGCATTACTCTGAGGCAGGATTTGAAGCTGTAGTAAGGCGTCCTGTCGTAGTTGTCCTCGTCCCTGCGCTTGCAGAAGAGCAGGGCGTGCTCGTAGAGGAAGAGGTGGCGCTGCATGGGCTTGAATCTGGCCAGCTCCTTCATTCGCACGGCCGCCCGCTTATGGCTGATCCACACGTTGAAGCCGCCCTGCAGCACAACGCGGCCAAGCTGGCCCAGATTCCCCTGAACCACAGACACACAGAACATAAACTGTACCCACCAGGAAGCAAAGAGAAACAACAGAGAAGTGAAAAATCACTCAGAAACGTTTTACGTTTGAGATAATCAGAGTAGCTGCACACAAAACGAATGACCGGTACTGGAGTTATATTCATCCAAATGATCAATAACCGAAACAACAGATCATATTTGGGATCCAGGGATATAATTATTGATTCTAATTGGTTGATTTGATTGGCGGGTACTTGATATCCGGTGATGGCTATCTGGTGCATGGAGTCGTTGACAGACTTGAGCAGCTCCAGCATGGAGTCCAGCGCCTCCCGGAGCTCGGTCCGGAATCGCTCCTCCACACAGTGTTTCAAAAGCTCCTGAGCAAAGACACGCACACAGGACGCCACCTCAGCATTTTCCTCTTCATCTAATCTAAGACATTGAAAACACTACCACTGAAAATTGAAATAAAATGGCATCTTGCTGTTAGTAATGTGGCTGATGGATTTTAGACTTTTGTCTCTGTTCAAGTATCGATGTAGGTGCAGGATTTTCCAGATGTTGCGTGAAAGCAGATGGATGTGCTCGCAAAACATATTTACCGTACACCTTAACATTACTCATTCTATTTATGATTTCCTGTTCTCCAAATTCCTCGAGCCTTCGTTATTTATGATTTATACATATAGAGTTGTTTTTTCATTTGAACAATCCTTTTATCATAACCTGAATATTGTTAAATGCTTGCATTTCTGTGGGACCTTAAGCAGCAGCTGGTACTTGGTGAGTCGTTGGACTGGTTTCAGGAGGTAAGAATCCAGACCTAACTTGTGGTCCAGCTTCTTCTGGCACTCCTGCAAGAGTCAGATAAGAAGCAATTAGAATATGTTTATGATCGATTTTAGGTTCTAAGTACATAAGTCCATCCATTCATTATCTATATCGCTTATTCCTAGTAGGGTCGCTTTGGGGCCTGGCGCCCATCTCAGCTGTTATTGGGTGAGAGGCGGGGTACATCCTGGACAGGTGGCCAGTCCACCACAGGGCCAAATAGAAACGAACAACCAAGACTGGGAGAGCATGCAAACTCAGTAGGGCCCTCAGTCCCTCAGGGACAAAAACCAGGAACTTTTTTGATGCGAAGCAGTTACTAACAAAACGGAATTAGACCATCACAGTGTGTACCATTTAACGGATGCGTTTACCTGGAAGAACGTGGAATCCGAACACTGTCTCCATAGCAACTCAGAGCAAGGCTTGTTTTGGCAGTAACGCTCATACACCTGGAACTTCTCCTTCTGCTCACACAGAAATGTACAGTACTCTTACGACGTGTCGTGCCATGTCAGATCACATGAAACGCACATTCCCTCTTCATGTTTTCTCACCCGTTGAAGGAAGCGAGACCCCACCCTCTCCGGTGTCTCCAGGCAGCCCTGCAGATCTTGGAGGAAGATCCTAAATCAGGTATCCAAGAGAAAAAATCATAGGAAATTGGATCAGAGAGAGACGGAGGACAGGAACATGAGGACGACTCGGTGACAGCTTGTGAGCTCGGAATGTGTGTGTGAACATGCCTGCTGTGGAACTGGTAAATCTCTGGCATGTTGCCGAACAGAACATCCTTCTGACTGCGCAGAGCTGGTGGAAGGAGATTGGACATGGAGGGGTCTTCCATCGCTGCCCTGTAGCCCTGGTAAGTGAAAATACAGGATACGTGGAAGGTAGAAGATGTAAAGGAAGGAGAAGTAATGTAGAAAATCAAAAGTGAAAAACAAAAACAAAAAAAATCAGCACATATCTTGCAAAAACAAACTTACCAGAAGGACAGAGAGCAGCTCATCCACATAGATCCTCTCCGTGGCTATCAGCTCCTTCATAATGTGGCTAAAGAGAAAGCAGTTATGGGAAATTGACAAAAATAGATTTTGGAAGTTAAAGAGTATTCAGATATGGCTTAAAGATGGAATGACAGGTGACGGACTGCCTACCGTGTCACCTGCTCTGGATTTTCTTCTGCCTCTGAATCCGTTTCAGGATTGGAGCCATAAAGACAGCTTTGGTTTCCTTGGTAATCGTGCATCACCTCAATCTGACAACACAAACACATGTAAAACTCTGCCAGCTTGGATGAGTGTTTTTGAGTGGGCCTTCTGTTGCATTATACATAAGGACATGTGAGAAAAACACAAACTGTTCGCACTGGAATTCACCATGTCCTTTTTGTCCAGAAATCTATATCATGCTCTTTCACGTTAATTCTGGGGAATGTGTTTTTACTCATGCACACCTTGCGCTGGCTATTGTTCCTCCTAGCAGCTCTTTTTCCAGGAAGTAGGTCAAAGGAGAACTTGGAGTTCAAGACGTTAAAGTCCACACCTGTAGGCAACACCGTACCAAAGCCTATATAAAAACAGTGATGACAAAGCAAAGAGAAAATACTGGCAAAAGACCAAAGAATACAAGGTAAATACGACTAAAGAGTTTGGAAAAAGTGGTAACGATGGCATTTTAGGAGCCTGTATGATAAACAGCTTATATCCAGATATATGATTAAATAGATAGCCAACCCAATATACCATGAGCCCAATAGATTCTGGTTTTGTTTTCTGGGAAAAAAACAAACATTCTATGTTATATCAGACTATATAGGTGTACAAGAAAAAAAACAAGAAAAGCTTCACAAACTGTGATTGAGCTTCATGGAGCAGAGCGTCATTGTACGCGGACCAGGCCTCTGAACTGGGCGTACCGTGTTTAGGAGAGAAGAGGGGAGACTTGCAGCGCTGTGGGTTCTGGTCCAGTTCGGGCCGGGGGGCCACCAGCTGTATGGGCCGGACCTGTACGTCGGCCAGTCTCCTCAGACACTGCTCTCTGTTTCTGATCATAGACTGCATCGAGGTCATCTTTTCTGTCACCATGGTAATCTGGGACTGCAAAAAAAATATTTTTTGAAAAACTCAACATAAGCTGAAGTGGGTTGTCCTGTGAGGGTGTGGGTCGGCAGCAGCCGCTCACCTCCAGCTGTGGGGTGAGTACCGCTTCAAACTCAAAGCTTAGCATGTCCTGGCAATTTTTTAAAGCAGACGGCGCCCTCTCCTGGTGGCAGCTCAGGTACTGCAGAGCCTCCTGAGCTCCCTCTCTGGTCTGGAACTTGTCCACCATTTGACTGGCCAGAAGATAAGCGCCGTCATCACACCAACGTAGGGCCTGCTCAAAATAAACATAAAGGTACTAAAGATACTGCACTTTCTTAACTGGATATCCACGAAGGGCAAAAAAAAGCGACTAATTCGTAAGAAACACGTGCTTCAGATCGGAGCATGTTCGTACAGGAATGAGCACAGGTTTTTGCGTGAGTGAGTCCTACCTCCTCGAGGCGCAGCAGCAGGTCTCGTGTTCTGCTGAGCGACGCCCGTTTGGTGCGGATGGCCGTGGTGAGGACGTCGCAAAGGTGCCGCAGCTCGTTGCAGCGCTGGACTATGAGCGCCAGGGCATAGTGGTGGTTGGCCGCCAACTGGTGACCGTGAAGGATGACCAGCTGAGCCCGAGCCATCTCCTCCTGATGCCGATGAAAAGGCAAGGCATTTAAAAAGAGATCTATGACTTACAGATCAGAAACTCTTCCAAAAAACAGTAGCTGTGTTTTGAGATTGATAAAGCTCCTTGTTTGTCATATTCAGAAGCTAACTCTCTCTCTCGTTTCTTCTAATCAGAACCCTTCACAGTAAATTTGTGAAAATGGGTCAAAAACAGGAGCTAACAGGAGCTAAACTAAAAGCCCAATTCATCTGTGATACGCCTGTGGTTGTGGGTGCTTCTGAGTGACCTGAGCATGTTTGTCCAGCACGTCCAGGTCTTTAAGTAGCTGTTCTGTTTGGACCACAGTGGTTCCCACGGATGCGATCCCCTTCTCCTGGGCAGAGAGCCGCTCCAGCACCTCGTCCATCTGCTCAGCCGCACACATACACACGCCACAATATTGCGCATCAGCGCTAAAGTGATTTGTTTAAAGATACAAACAGACAGCTGTCCCACCTGCTGAAAGCTGACTTCATAGTGGAGCAGCTGGAGGTACTGCTGCAGCTTCAGGTGGTGCTTTTCAAAGAAGCCATCGAACGCCTCTTCCATGTCTCTGAGCTGAGCCAGGAGCCTAAAACACACATCCACATGACCTGGTGTTACACAAGCTGTCAAGCTGTCTGAAAGGAAGAACAACAAATACGAAACAGAGAATATTCTCTGTGAATTCTACTACGGAGCTTAAGAAATTCTAAGAACTCCTGCCGGAAATCATTCACATGCACTGCACCTCTGAACGGTGGCCATATCTGACTGGATCTCTCTCTCTTCCTCTGCATCCCTCTTGGCAGCTTTGACCGTTTCCAGGTTAGACGACAGCAGACGTCCTTCCTTCAGCACACCTCTGATATCATCCTGATGAAAAAACCAGCAGGAATATAAATGAGTTTGGATAAATGAGGGGGAAGGTGACAAAGTGTGCAAGCAGAAAGAAGAGAAACCAGGGCAGACAAAGAGCAAGCAGCTACCTTCATCTGCCGGTATCGATGTGTGTGGGAGTGCAGCAGGAACTCGATGGCATTGGCCTCATCTGGCAGTTCGGTCTCAGACAGCTCAGATCCAAAGCTCTGCAGCAGCTGGGCGATGTCCTTCACTGTCACCGCAAAGGTTTCGATGGACTACAAACACACAAACACCTCACAACTGAGCGGTGGCACGTCGGCGCTTGGATTTTTGGTTTCAAACTCCACCATCCGTGGCTTGATGGGCCCACAGAGCGCTTACCGAGCGGAGGACCAGCCAGTCGCTCTGGCAGTACTCCACTTTGGCAGTGAAGTCCGACGTCAGGTGATTCTCATCGATGTAGCGCAACAGGTCACCCACCGAACGCAGCATCACCACCTGGAAAAACACACATCGTCAAGGGGGATCTCATGTCCACCCGGCCAGTGTGTCCTTCTGACACTTTGGCAAGTCACCGGATCAGTGGTTTTTGTAAACTGTGCTGAAGAAGACTAAACTAAATGAAAGCCTTCTCGCAACCCAAGAATTCACAGCTTTGAACCCCCCCCCCTCACCGGCATCTTTAACAGGAAGTCATCCTGGCTAAATCGAAAGCCCAAGTCAGTGCTGGAAGAGGGGCTGGGGGTGGAGCTTATCAAACCGCTGGGGCGGAGCACCAAGACCAAGTGCAGGTTGCCGGGAAACGAGGTCTGAAAAAGACAGAAAGGAAATCACTCGTTCTTATTTCCTAAATGATTTCACAGACACCATCAATGTTCTCGCTTCGAAACTTGTCAATCAACTGGAAACATGCCTATTTATGACTTTCTATTTATTCCATATAGGATTTAACTGCAAAGTTACTTTTCCCGTTTCTTACCTTTACACTGAGTGGCATTCTGCAGACAGCAGAGTAGGATTTCCGTTGTACATGGAACGTTCTATTATGCATATGACAACAAACTTTGAAACTTAAAACTGGGAAGAACTGGTAAAGTGGTTAATGTAATTTACCAAAAAGCCAAAACTCAAGATCCTATGTTCTCAATTCCCTTTAGAGGTCATAAAAATTAGCTCTGGTTATGTCCTCTGACTGAACAACACAACCAGGACAACAACGACTAAAGGCCACATGTCAGGGACAAAGCCCAGGTTAGACGGTGATTAGAATTGGCTTATAGAAACTCACTCTATAAGGAAAGCAAATGCATCACAAGGCTCCTGCAGAGAAAGGGAAAACCGGCAGAACATACTGAAAAGCCAATGATAGCACTGATCAGAACGATGACAAAGATGCTGATGAAAACCCTGAATATGCCGCTAAGCCTGCTGGCAGATAATGGAGGCAAAAAGTGGATGGTACCCCCATCATGCAGTTTACCCGTCTATCATCAGGGACAGCAGTCAAACTGAGTCTAACAATCGAAGGTGACGTGTTTCCACTGAAATGAGATCATGTTGTAAGTTTTATTTGTCAGTATGGCCTTAAGTATACTGAAAAAGCAACACTTGGCTGAAGAAGCATTGCCAGATAATGGGACAGAGAATGTGCAGACTTATTTAAAGATGGCTGTACAGCAGTAGAACCCACACAAGGTGAGAAAGGTGGACTAGCTTTACCTTGAGGAATAGGAATAAAAACATGTGCCAAACTGCACGATTTAAAACTGTTTTTATGTCTGTTTTTGCTGTGAAGACCCATCTTTCTTTTCCCTTTAATAACGATTATAAAGTCTGAAGCAGCTTTATGAAATACGAGGCATGCTGCAAAATACATCACTAAAATCAACTTTCGTACCAGGTTGAATGGTCACAAAACAAAACAACGGTGAATACTTTAACAAGGCCCTGTCTATAAGTCTAGTCTTTTTCTTAAGAAGCCAGAACAACACTGCCTTCTGAGGCTCATGGCTGAAGTTTTAGTCAAACATTCATTCAGGAATACTCCTCATACTATGAAACAATGCACATAAACACATCCCTGCTTAATACGAGAAGAGAAGAACTGAGTGAAGGGAGTAGAGGGATGGGACTGTCAGGACAGCTGCTGATTGCAGTCATTTGTGAAGCCTAGCGAAGCTCAACACAGCCTCAACATCCTTCACTGTCAGTCTGAGAGCTGTTTAAGCTTCTGTGGCACTTCAGGAGCTCTCCCAGTCAGCTCCAATACCCACTCAGCATTTCGGCTGTTCTAATCTCTTTCATTACACACAATCAAACTCCACACACACCTTCGCTCACTCCTCAAGGCCAAGCTTTATAACGGTGTTCTGTAGAAACACAGACATTTTTCTGTTGTTATATGACTTTATGTAAGTCACCCATCAAAAAACTAACTTTGGAGGAGTATTTTGAAGTAGACAGAGCTGGCTACAGGCCAAATTCCTCTAATACAGACCCCCCTCCCTGCTGGATGAGAGCAGACTTTTATGCAGAAACCACGCACTTCATCCAGCTTCTCCTTGCCTTGATGTGTCCTGCTATAAGATAAATGGTGGATAAAGCTATAGACTTCTAACCCATCTGCAATCCAGTGTTTACAACAAGTATCTGGGACACAGGCCAAAATCATAAGGCTGTATAACCACGGACAGTCTGCAGAGCGAAGCTGATCCGGCGTCTTGCTCTTTCTGCACCTGCAGTTGCAAACAAACACGCGCCTATGTCATTGGCCTGTCCCGGTCCCCCTTCACAGACTTTTGACATTGGCCTGTGCACTTCATCCGACCGGCCACTAAATCGAGAGGCGTCCTTAATATCTAAATCCAGTCTGAGAGAGATCACCTCGTTGCTGTATGCCGCAGTACCCGACAGCCCGTAAGCTCGCCTATCTCTCTGCTCCCTCTCTCTGCTGCGGCATCCCGTTTCGCAGCCTCCCACGGACGTTCCCCTCCTCCCGGATGCAGCTTACCGCGGCCCGGCGCAGGCGGGGGAACCCCCACGGCGGGCTGGAGTCGGCCATGGCGTCCTGCGTCCGGCGTCCGGCGTCCGGCGTCCGGCGTCTCCGATTTTTGTGCCCGGGACGTCTGCAGCGGGACGCGGTGACTGTGGGGTGTTTGGGTGGATGTGTGGGTGGGTGGTGGGGGGGAATGAGCTGCCGCAGAGGTGGCACGGTGTCCTGCACTGCGGTGTCCGGGTGCGCCGAGTGCGCACCTCAGAAAGACGCAGCTGCGCTCCGGACAGCCGGACGGTGGGCTGCACTCACCTGACGTCAAAGCCACAAAGATCCCGTCAAACCGGCGCACAAAACGTCCCAAGAAAAGTGAACGCTCTCCCCTCTCACAGCACAAACCCAATCAGTTCAGCATTTCCAAATATGGACCGTTTCAAACCTGCTGCCCACCCCCGCTCACGCAATAAAAAAAAACTATTTGATCCCGTTTAATTGATTTAAACAGATGGGTTTAAGATATTCTTTTTCATTTTCGGTTTTTACAGAGCCATTCCCTGCATGTACACAACTGTGCACATCAAGACGAGCCAGACGCGTTTACTTTTGGTGAAACATTTTTGTTATATCCACTAGATGGCGAATTTGTAGCAGGAGATTGTGAGTCAGATACTACATCTATCAAAGTATTTTGGGAGTCTGGGACCAGTTCATTCAACAGATTATGTAAAATAGAAATAGAGCTATTCTAATCCAATTTGCTCAATCTTCTTTAATGGGGACATAACTTTCTTCCAATAGAATAAATACACAAAAAACTGCTGTGGCTCTTTGTTTATGGTCAGTAACCAAACCCGTTTTCATTCCTGTGTTCCTGTGTATCATGGTATAACATCATTATGGTTGTTATGGGCGTTAAAATCTGATTCAACACAACCTACTTTTTTCTTCTTTTCGTCTTTTTTTGCTTCAGTTGAGTACACCTCAGCTGTCTGTGTTCTTCTGGCATGTGTTCAACCAGGGATCAGCGGGAGTCACTTACGTAGGAACACCACCTTTTTGTGTTTACACTGCCAGACAGACAGATTCCTAGAAGCACTGGCCACGAAATAACCAATAAAATAGAGGCGATGTTATCTCATTATAGTGACATCGCCTTTCACTTGATCTCCTCCAGATCAAGTTTGCTCTTGGTTGAGCAGAATATCCTCCCCACCTCCCTCCCCCCCCCAAAAAAAAAGTCTCAGTGGCCTTCAGATCTCCAATTGGTGGTTTTGCAATTGAGCTAGATTTCCATTTTTAATCAACAATGTGTAACCATTATATATATATCTATATATGTGATTTTAAACATATTTGGTCATACTTTGGCAACTGTTATCAATTCCACTGGGGGAGGGGGGTGCTTCTTCATTCTTTCAGCTTGAGCTTATTATAATGGACTTGCTATAAGATTCACAGGGTTTCAAAGGTTGCACTTGATCCCTTTTAATCTTTGCACGTTACTGCTAGTGTTGAATAAGACAGCTTAATCTGATGCTTCTGTCAACGTTCCATCATCCTTACTGTAATGTGACCGGGAGTCCCTAATCTGCTCAGATCAGACAGTCTTGACTACAGTTTTCCACACTTCCCAAATTTGGCTCCATTGCTAGATAACACAGAATTGGCCTTAACTTTTTACAATGAAAAAATGAAACATTACATTGTTTATCTAATCTGTTTGTCTATTATCTAGAAAATAAAGCGCAGAATAAATATGCACAATAGCAATGGGGGGCCTATCCTTTATTTCATCACTTTTTATTGACAACTTTCTAATCTGAGGAATTTTTAGAAATTCTTCTAATGTTTACCTCAGTTTAAAACTGAAAGAGTTCTGGCTCACAGATAGGATAGAAATAGCAACTTAAAAAGCTATTTTTAACACTTTTGGTGACAAACTTCACACATGTTTTGTTGAGACACTGCAGTGATCTCTTCTAAGTTAAATGAAGCATAGTATAATAAAACCCACAACTGTATGAGCCTTCTTAGATTTAACGTTTTTTTGTTTGTTTGATTGTTTTTTTTCTCACTAAGTGTCAGTTTGTGGTGATGCGGAGGGGGATTATCAGCCTACTACAATCACAGCCATGTGGCGGCTGAGGTGTGGCTGTTGACTTTGCTGGGGGACAATTTTAGACCCTTTGTAGTTCAAAACAGCCATCCGCTGATTGCTTAATTGGATTATAGAGGAGGGAAGGACAGCAATGATGAACTGCTTAAATCCCGAATGATAGATGGGGGAAGGCCGGTATAAAAGGCACCACGGGTGTTGTATACCACACATATCTTATCCTGACACACTCTGCCAAGTCCCAAACAACTGAGAAGAGGTAAGACTTCCAAACATCTTCAAAAATGGATTGAAAGGATGGAGGCATAAATATGTTTTATGCTGAAGTTGAACTTCAGTTCAGAGATGCTTTCTTTAAAACTAGAATGTACCTTAAAACTAGAATATGCAAGCTTCTGTTGTAGAGATTACACAGGTACAAAAATGATTAACAAATAAAATGGGGAACGTCTGAAATAATACAGGTTATACAAATGCTATTGCATTTGGTGCTGCATGAATCAGTAGTTTCACCACATCATAGCATCAATGCAGCTCTGCTTTTTTATCAGCTTTTCAGAAAAAGATTAAAGCAGCTGGCTTGGACCTCCATGGTGCCATAGTGTATAAACGTACCTGCTTAATTCATTTCACAAAGCTGTGATCTCTTATGACAGCTATTTCTCAGTTTTCAGAGAATCAGTTGGTTGGTAGTGGGTGTAACAGAGAGCCTAATCTTTTGAAGAATCCTTGATTTACATGGTGGGCAACATGATAATGAATTGATTCAGTGGACTGTTAAGATTTGTTAGTTTAGTTTACTTTTGTCCTCCCGAGAGCTACTTTTCTCCAAAAAATGTTAATGAAGAGAACGTTTAAAAAATTGTCAAAGTAATTTGGAGATTTTGCGCTCATACAAACTGTGCAAAATTTTGGCAAGAAATCTGTGCCAATTGATAATAAACTAGTTTTTCCTTGTTTTTAATTGCTTAACTGTCAAATGCATCTTTTTATTTGGCCCAATACGCTCAAAGGTGTTCATCTTGTGTATTTGACTTCAATGTTTGTTCAATGATTTGACTTTAAGGCAGAACAACCATTGGCAAGTAAAGTTCAAAAAGATAAATATGCACAGCACACTGGAGACGACAGGATGAATACTGAACAAGTTCTTGTATCTCTTTTGACTAGTGAATATCTTTAATTTAGAAAGTCCTCTGCTGGACTCATTGTCTCTGGTTTTCTTGGATCCACACAGTTTTATCCATCTAATTGGCTTTGTGACAAACTTTGTGTTTAGCACTCCTGTTACATTATAAGGGTAATAAATCCTTCAATTATCATGTGTTCAGTGCAAATGTGTTAGTGTTATTTAGTGTATTTTAGGCTTATGTCTGTTGGATAGAAGCCAGAGAACCCGAAGAGAATTACAGCTTTGGTCCATTTAACACAAGTACCGTAATCTTATCGAAAAGGATTAACCTCCTGTACCCTACAAAAGAAATATCACTCCAGCTGTCTGAGGGCTGACAGAAGGTTTTAATCACAGTTCACAACAAACACCGAGTCCCACTGATTAGTCAAACTCACAGTTTCTTTTTATGTTCTTCCAACAGACGACTTGAAATCATCATCCAGAGATGGCAAAGTAAGTACTTTTTTCTGCCAGTTAAAGATAATTTTTCTACCTTGATTCTTATTTGCTTTACAGCAACAACTGGGTGTACAAAACCTTAGAGATTCTTCATCAGTGTGGCGAATTGTTCATTTGAGAGCCCTGTACTTTTCTGATGCTTGGATACAGTTACGAGACATTTCAAATTTTACTGGATCACTTCATTAAAAAAAATCCATTTTCCTCAGCTGCTTATATATGTAGTTCATCCAAACAAGTCATTAAAAAGAATCAACCAAACATGTAAACATCAGACAATCCAAATTAATCCAATTCCAATCATTTCAATGTAACAACATAATTACTGTAAAAACCTGAAAACCCCAGATCATCTTTAAAGTGTGGCAACCTCTGGCCCCAAGCCAATACCTAAAAGTGGCAAGCGCCCGAAAGTCCTTTATTTTTTCCTTTTGGCAGTGATGTGTCGTTTAAAATATAACCTCAGAAATTACCACTGGTAATCAGCTTCCTCTGATCGTAGTGTTAATCAGCTATTTGGGAACACTGCTCCACCGTTTGCGGCTCCCTCACCTGACCCACCCTCTCAATCCGGTCAGGCTGAGGTAAAGCTGCTCCGCACTTAGCTATTCCTAACCGGATGAAGCAGAATAAGGAATCGCTGACCTTTCTCCCCCAGGGCAAGAAACCATGTTTAATCCCATTTTTAAAACCTGATAAACTTTTCAGCTGTTGAAATCGCTAGGCAACTCGGCAAGAGGAGTCTTTTGAAACACAGTTTTATACTTTTGCCAGCCAACCGTAGGTCATGGTGGGAGCAAATGGTCCCGTCAAATGGTCAAATGATCTATCTCTTCTCTCACTCACAGGATTTTCAAGAAGACCAGTGGAAATGGAGGGGTCGGTATTCTTCTCTTACTTCTGCACGACTCAAAAAATGTGTCTTTTGGTTTTTTATTATCACGGTAAATTCTAACCTGCTTATCCGCCCTCTGCATGACAGCTGACCCTCTACCTGGGAAAGAGGGACTACGTGGACCATGTCGGCCAGGTTGACCGAGTTGGTGCGTTTCTTTTTCCCCTTTGTCTTTGCTTTTGCAGCTTCAGCATCATCATTTTACTGACAGATGCTTTTTTTTATTTACAGATGGCGTTGTGAAGGTGGACCCAACAGATTTTGGAGACAAAAAAGGTATGCCCTCAATCTAGTAGTTCTCAAATATCTTTAGGGGGAAAAAATGACAGAAAACCAGGTTGAGTCAATCTGGCGAAATGTGTCATCAAACCCAATCTCTTTCTTTGCAGCTTTTGTGCAGCTGGCCTGTGCCTTCCGTTACGGTACCGAGGATCTGGATTTCATGGGCCTGTGCTTCCGGAAGGACATCTGGATCAACCAGATCCAGATCTACCCTGATCCCAGCAAGCCTGAGCTGAGCGCCATGCATGACACTCTAATGAAGAAGGCAGGAGATAACTCATACCCGTTCACTTTTGAGGTATGTGGAAACCCCAGTTCTTTATCCCATTTTTCTTGTCTTATTTAAGTTTGAATATTCTGAACAAAAATATATTACAAGGAATGATTGTGCGCTTACAACTTGACAAAATCTATCTGATGCAGTTTTTCTTCTGGAAATATGCAATTGTATCCAAAACACCTAATATTTGGAAGTTATATTGCAAAATTTGGATTTTAGAATTAACTATTTGAACACCACCTCTAAAAAATTGAGTGTTTATGTATGAATATGTATCAATAACTCTTCTCTTCAGCTAAATCGATTCACTTTATTTCTTCAGATTCCAACAAATCTTCCATGCTCAGTGTCTCTGCAGCCTGGACCTGATGATAAAGGAAAGGTCAGCCATCTTGTCAATCTTCCGTCAACCTGCTTTAACCAACATCAAAAACTTAGTAAACACGCAAGAATTACATATGGTTATGCGTTTTCTTACTTTGCAGGCTTGTGGTGTTGACTTCGAAGTGAAGGTTTACCTTGCCAAGGAGAAAAACCCTGAGGAAAAAGTGGAAAAGAAGTGGGTCTTGTTTGGTTTTCTGTCTTTTTTCTTATTTACCCTGCTCGTGCCACTGACCTTTCTGACTGCTGCCATCTCTACTCTTTCCTTGTCGTTGACCTTTTGCTTATACTCACCTCCCCTTCTGCCCAAACAGGGACAGTGCTCGCCTCGTCATCCGCAAAATCCAGTATGCGCCCAATCAGGTGGGCGCCGGGCCCAAGGCAGACATCTGCAAAAGCTTCATGATGTCCGACAAACCAGTTCACCTGGAAGCATCGATGGAAAAAGATGTACAGTGGCAAAAATATCCTATTCATTGGCAACTGAAACTGACCGACCATCATTTGTAACTATACCTGTGAACTCATGTGAACCTTTTATTGTTTTTTTCTAATTTTCTTATTTTGTTTTTTCCACAGCTCTACTTTCATGGAGAATCCATACCCATCAAAATCAAGATCAATAATGAAAGCAACAAAGTGGTAAAGAAAATAAGAATCACTGGTAGGTGATTTGTCAAAATCCCCGCTCGTCGAAATGTCCTTATACAGATTTAATCTCCTGACTGTCAGAGGATCACTAATCACGCGCTTTGCCTTTTTCTCCTCCTACAGTGGACCAAACCACAGACATTGTCATCTACGCAGCAGACAGATACACCAAGACTGTTCTTTCCCAAGAGTTTGGGTATGTGAAGCAGGGAAAACACAGCAATGATCACGGGAGTAAAAACTATTTATACGCTTTGGTGTGTAAATTGTTTGTGTTTTAATCTGTACAGAGAGACAGTCGACTCCAATAGCACATTCGAAAAGTCCCTGAGCATTACACCCAAGCTGTCTGAAAACAAGGAGAAAAGGGGCCTGGCTCTGGATGGACGGCTGAAGGACGAGGACACTAACTTGGCCTCCACCACCATGTGAGTGCACAAACACAGCCGGTAGAACTCAAACAGGACACACGTGCAGTTTCAATTGGTTCAGGAAAAAGCTCTTTTCAATCTGTGCATTTCCAGTTTCGCATTTCTCTGATTAGGTACGGTTGGCCATTTTTTGAAAGTAGTAAAATGAGAAGTAGTCTTCTGCATTCAGGGGAGGGAATGTCCATTCAAATATTTGAACTACCTGTTACCCCAATGATCGAACGCATAGCTACACCAAACCCGATAATCCCATAAATCGCTGTTATTCCCTGTCCACAGGCTGCGACCGGGTTTAGACAAAGAGGGGTTGGGTATTCTGGTTACCTACAAGATTAAAATTAACCTGATGGTGGCCGGAGGAGGGTGAGTATGTGTCTGTTTGAGCACCTTTAGACCAACGCACAAAGTTGGTATTCATTCTGAAAGAGCATGCAACTCATTTTTGTCCTCTGTGTACCCAGCCTGCTTGGTGGCCTCACTTCCAGGTAAATTCAATCGATTACAGCCTTTATATCACATCCTATACAGCCAACCCTCCGCAACTGGCAACTTTCCCTCTGAGCTGACTGACCTCTTTTCCTGTGCAGTGATGTCTCAGTGGAGCTGCCACTTAGCCTGATGAGCGCCAAGCCAGAAGGTACTTTTGTTTTGTTTTTTATCATCACGTGGTTCAGGAACTTAAAGCTTAGAACCCATATCACTTGATACTTCCTAATGGTTTTACTCCCTCATCCTGTTATTTTCTTCTTCTGAAAATCCCTCCAAACTGGGCAGAGTAAAGGCTCAACATCACTGTAAGTACTAATTTAAGTTTTGGGAGCTTTCAATAAAAATCCATACAAGACCAATTTGCTCTAGAAGTTGATAATTCCGTTTTTTGACAAATTGATCCTATTATTCTATTGTAAATTAATTGGATAAGCCTCATCTGTACATAATGCATGGCGGATACTAATTGAAATGGGGCAGCCTAAAAAGAAAAGGTTAATTGGTCACTTTATTCTCAGATCATTTGATATTGTTTTGGTGTACAGTAGAACAGCATCAAAGATCCATATGTTTGCTGCTTTCCAGAGAGGAAGTTACTCTGCAGGTTGAGAAGACACCAGCAGAAAGATGAAAGACAACAAAGAGAAGAGACAAGAGATGCAGAAGAAGGAGAAGAAGAATGAGAAGAAGAACGAGAAAGTGACTGGTGTCCTCAAAAGAAATTATAATAAGCGAAGTGACAACCTTAATAACACAACCAGGATATAAGATGCAATGTCAAACACCTTGCAAATTTTCCCTTTTTTTTGTGCTTGTTGTTTATGTTTTTGTCGTCAAAGAATTGTTAGCTGTAGAGAGCAAAGCTGAGTCCAACACAAGGCTCCTGTAGAACCATACACAGAAGAGAAGATAAGATTTTTTTTGTCTCGTTTGACTGTACGGGATGCATAAAATCAGAAAGCAGGTCAAGGCTCACAAAGGCCACAGTGTTTTCTAATCTCTTAATGGAGTATTGCATTTAATTTACCAGATTATGGCTGTGATTTGACTCATAAAGTATCCAAACGTACATTAAAATAAATTTTGAAAACAAATGTGTTTTTTCAATTTTGTTGTTATTTCTTTTAGAATAAAATGAAAAAGGTATTTGATTTTGTTAATCAAATTAATCCATTTTAAGTGCAGCCTTATGGTGAATGACTATGATATGGGTCATTCACCATAAGGCTGGGTCTCCACACCTATCCTAAATAAAACAAACCATAAAGTTAAGGTTAAGCATAATAAAAAATTCTGTTAAAAAAACAGCTTTCTTTTACTTGTTAAGTGCTTGAGGGACAAACATTTTTTAAGGTAAATATTCTTTGACACAGAATAAAAACCAAGGCACGAGTCGTGCTGTGGATATAAAAGGGTCTAGTGCTATGAATGATATAAAATGTTTTCCTCACCTATTTGTTGAGGAAAAAAATATCCAGCATCTATAGGATGTGAGATTGTCTAGATTTAGGATCTGGTAAGTCCTTAATGGCCACTAACTTTTTCTGCAATAGTTTAATTAATTGCAATACAATGAATTTAGAAGAGAATGCAGAGTATTTGAGAAAAGCCCTTTGCTTTAAATCAATAAATTATGTTTCTCCGATCAAATACTGCAGAGACAAGTACATTTGGCTACGTCACAAGTTAACCTTGTGATAAACATGCTCACTTAAACTAAAGTGCTAAAACCACAAATGAACAGGAGGAAGGATCTTCAGACAGACCACTGCTGGGGTTTTTATCTGTAAGACAATAGTCCAAATGCATCACAGAGCTGCTCACATTAGTTTGATTTGTTGTTCTTTCTTTAAAGGCCAATATTTCACTTGAATAAGATGTGTTACCACTTCAATTGGAGCTATTTAAAATAAGATTATACAGGCTAGAATGACTGAAGGTAACATTGAAAGTGTGTGATTAAATTAAATAAATGTCTTAGGTTGGCATTTTAGTAAAAAGGTAAGAAGATCTAGTGATTAAACTGGACAGTGGATCATTAAGATACCCCATACGTTCATAAACCCAGAATCGGTGTGAAATGTGCTGTCAAATTCATGTAATTCAGCTTTGATATAAAAAATAAAATAAAATAAAAAATGAAAAATGAAAAGCCTCCAAAATTAGCAAAAGGCCCTCTCTGAAAGACGAGAAAGCATTTTTCACCAGTAGAGGGCAGTCAATTCAGTTACGTTTCCGTGTGACGAAGAAGAGAAAGACAGCGTCTGACGTAATCACGTACAACGTCTAGCATCGAAGCAACATGGCTTTGAATGGAGGTTTGTGAACTTAACTGTTATCAGCCCGCTAACTCTGACGTCTCTGGGGTTCGAGAACATTTAGGCGCGGATTCATGTGATAATTCTCTCGTTTTGTTTTTATTTTCGCCGAGTGTCTGTCGCGTAACCCTCATCTAGACGTTACTTCGGTACATTTGCTAATTAGCTTGTCAATATTTCCTGACAGAGCTCCTTGGCTCTGGTTGACACATTTCAAAATAACCCAGCTCAGGGGAAACGTTTAAACTAAAGAGCTTTCCAAGCGTCTTGTGGAATTTAAAGGGTAAAATCGGCTTACGCAGATCGGCAGCGTATGTGCGTTCATTGTGACAGCTTTGTGAAAACATGTGGAGTCCGATGCTGTGTGGATGCGATAAGGTTCAGCTATCTTTGCATGTCGTTACTGACCTGCAGATGAAGACTATGAGTGGGAGCCACCAACAGAGGCGGAGATGAAGGTGATCCAGGCTCGCAGGGATCGACAAGACAAAATCAGCAAGCTGATGGGAGATTACCTGCTGAAAGGATACAAGATGCTGGGAGACTGTTGCGACCTGTGTGGGGTGAGTGAGGCCAGGGTGTTATCATGTCTAAGACAAACGCAAGAGATGGAGCGGGGTGTTGGATTTACTTGTGTTTTGTTTTTTTTTGCCCAGACGATTCTTCTTCAGGACAAACACCAGAAAAAGTACTGTGTGGCATGTCAGGAGTTGGACTCTGATATCGACAAAGACAACCCCGGTAGGCACAGCTCACACATCCATCCATTATCGTTACCGCTAATGGGGTCGCGGTGAGAACTGGAGCCTATCGCAGTGGTCAATCGGCAAGAGGCGGGGTACACCCTGGACAGTCCGCCTGTCCATCGCAGGGCCACACAGAGACACACAAGGACGAACAACCATGCACACTCACATTCACTCCTAAGGAGTGAATGGCAATTTGGAATGTCCAATCAACCTAATATGCAGGTTTTGGGACAGTGGGAGGAACCCACGCAGACACAGGGAGAACATGCAAACTCCGTGTGTGTCTTTTATCTTCTTGATCCATTATTGCTCCCTCTGCTGTTGGCTTTCTGTACACTTCAGTTCTCCTTACAGTGTTTTCCCTGTGTCCCCTCTCTCAGCTCTGAATGCTCAGGCCGCATTGTCTCAGGTGAGAGAGAGACAGCTGGCCGCCCAGTCTCCCGCGCAGACCCAGACCCCTGAACTCAACGGGGGCGCCGGCGTGAGTCAGGCGGGCGCCTCGGTCGCTCAGCCCAGACCGGAGCACTGCGAGGGGGCCGCCGCCGGGGGCAGAGCCCTCCTGCTTCCGCCCGCCGCCCCCCTTCCCCCGGCCCCGGCCTGCCCCCCCACGCTGGCGGTGGCTGCGGCGGCTTCGGCCCCTCGCCCCCCCGTCAGCCCGCCCGGCTCCGCCCTCCTGCCGGTTCTGCAGGAGGCCGAGGAAGCCGTCCTCACCAAACTCCGCTGGGCCACCGCTCAGCTGCAGAGCTCGGCCTCGCTGGAGGCCAGCATCCAGCTGTGCGGCCTCATCGCCAGCTGTGCCAGCTCCCTGCGCAGCCTCAAGGAGCTCAGCCAGTAGCCACAGGGGGGGTCCGGGGGGGGGGGGGCGACCCTGAAGCAACAGGGATGCCGTCTCCCTTCTTGCCTCGCCTTTTGGAGCACTGACTCTGGTTTAGCTGAATCCTCGCTTAGAGATGAATTTAAGATTGGTCCAAAGTGGCACTTAAAAAACAAAAGTGCACAAGGTGCTGGTGGGTTGTTGTGGGCGTCCGTCTGATGGAAATACAATGTTTGTTCTTCACGCGACTGCTTCTTTTTTTTTTTTTTTTTTCAGAATGGAAGTTATATTTACCAATATTGTCGAAGAGTATCGAGGGTTCATAATCACTTTAAAACATCTGGGCCGCATCATTTTTAATCTAAACTTGATCTGTTTTTCACATGACAACAGTGCTCCCGTTTTTCTGCATATTTTCCTCAATTTTATCCAAAACCTCCACCATGTACTTATTAAAAAAAAAAAACGCTGACTGATTCTGATAAATTTATTTAAAAGGTTACTTTAAAAGCTTCTTTTTTTCAACCCCCCCCTACAGAGCCTTCCAAATTACTGAAAGCTACAGAAACTCCTGTGTGCGCGCCAAATATTGTGTTTGTGTTGATGAACAACACAATACTTGTCTGTTGGACTTCAATTAAAGTATTTAGCATGTTGTTGAAGATTTTTGTCCTTAATGTAAGACTTAGTTTACCCTCAAGCTCAAGTTGCATATTTAATTTTTAACACTTTGGCTGACACCTTCAGGTTTGTGAAGCATTTAGTGCTTTAAAGGGTTGGTTTTAGCTCCGGTCGGTACTTTCCTTCATTATTTATCATTTATTTATCATAGCCATGAAGGCAGGGACAGAACGGTTTGGAATTGTCCTCCCAGAGTTGGAGAATTTCCGGCACAGAGGCTGTGACTTGGTTCCACAAGAGGGCACCACGTGACAAGTTTCAAACTGGAGTTACAAGGAGCGCAACAGCAGACACACACACACACACAGACTAACCGGAGCGCGTTGTGGTACGTTCACTTCCGGTGGGAGAGGGGGGCTCTCGGTGTGAACGCCCCCCTTCAAACAAAGGGCAGGATACAAAAACAAAGCCCGGAAGCCTGACATTTGCCCGACGTTTACCTCAGCTGTGGCCAAACAAGTTTCCAATCCACCATGGCTTTTTTTTCTGCCATGAAAGAAAAAAAACAACTACTTCTGGGAGTGATGTTCTGACTCCGCTTGTCCAGATAGACTGTTTACCCTTCGTGTAAAAACTTGCGCCTCCTGCGCGGAGCCAGGGTTCTTTTCCATGGACGGAGGTCCGGGCGCAGGGCCGGGAGGAGGCCGGGGAGGAGGCCCGGGAAGCGGGAGCGGGGTCTTGGCCGCGGAGGGGCTGCCTCCGCTGCCCAAGAGCCTGGGCAGCATCCTGAGCTCCAGCGGCGGCTCGTGGCGGGACACGGAAAAGGTGCACAGCAAGAGGGCCCGCATCCAGGCGGAAATCAGCGGCAGGGGGGACCGGGAGCTCGCGGCCAAGCCCAGGAGTCTGGACGCGGCTCTGGCCCTGCTGCGCAAAGAAATGGTAAGAGGTGCGACCACGTTTTGCGCGTGTCTGCTGTTGTTTATGGGAACAACGCCCATAAAAAATATCCCAACAACTTTTACACCCATAACTTTTCAAACTTTCTTTCCTCCCTTTATTGCTTTAAAAGGTTGTCATGCGCCAAAACCCTTTTTTTTCTCTCTAAAAAAGAACATACCTGCACATCCTAAGTGAGCAGAATTGGAACAGAGGAGACCTAAGTGAAGATGTTTGGTCTGAATGCACAACACCACATTTGAGGAAAACCGAACGCAGCACGTGTTCACAATCAATTGCCGTGCAGGTGTCAAGCACGGTGGCGGAGGGCTGGTGATGTGGGCCTTGTTTTGCAGCTACAGGTCCTGGACACCCCCAGCAGGCGTTGAGTCCACTGAACCCTGTCTGGTAGCTAACGCCCGGCCAAAACCGGTCACGGTACGGGACAGTGATCCTCAGACAGGGCAGCAGATGGCCAGCAGTCTGGGTGGAATGCTGCGCCGGGCCTTGAATGCTGTTTGTAAATAACTCCAGCCAGCCTCAGGGAGCTGAAGAAACCCTGTAAAGAGGGGTGGAACTAAATTCCTGCACAACAATGTGAGAGACTGATAACATCATACACAAAAGGAGCAGTTCCAGTTTCTGCTGCTGGTGGTTCTTTTAAATCTTGGGACTTCTATAGTTTTTCACGCCTTACTTCTGCATTTGAGTTCAGTTTTTTCTCCAATTGGTTGTACACATGCACCGGATGATTTTTAAAAACTCTGTGGAATGTTGAGGGTGTGTGCTTTCTCTTTTAAATGACTCAGATAATCACTATTTGCTCCCCATGAGGTTTACCAAGAGTGGAGGTTTACCAAGTTCCTCGTAGCTCTTGTTCTTTTGGTGCTCGACTTTGATGAGTCGGCAGAAATCTGGACACCTCCCTCAGTTTCCTTCTATACTTGTGTGTTTCAGGTGGGTCTGCGACAGCTAGACATGTCTCTGCTTTGCCAGCTGTGGTCTCTCCACGAGGCCATTCAGGAATGCAAGGGCGAGGCCTCCTTCACTGCTGATAACGGATACTCCGAGGAGGAAGAGGAGGAGGACGAACCGGAGGAGAAAGACGATGAGGAGGCCAATATCCTCTCACAGCCTTCTCCCAAAGACTCCTTTAATGCTGACGGATGAAGACAGACGCTATTCAGCGTATACCCTGCCGATACACACTGACTTTAGGTCGTTTTTGTATTGGCTTTCGCACTAAAAAGAGCTGCCCGCCTTCTTTGTGACATCAGTGCCTGCTTTGTCGATATCAGCGCGCTTCTGCCCGACGCCTTCAAACACAAAAACACGTTCTATAACACTTTTCTTCGATGCTCTTCTGTAACTTTTAAGCACTCACACGTGTGGCCTTTTTTTTTTTTTTTTTTACAAGTTTTTGCTGAACTGTATCAGGTGCAGACTCGGATCCAGACCAGGTGGGTTTCATCAGCTCTGGACGTTGTAAAAGTCTGTTTTCCTCATTCCGCCCGGAGCGGGGAGTGATTAAACGTTTCTGATCTCCAGATAAAAAGTGATTTATGGCAGAAGTTGCATCATTTTGGCACTCTGACAATTTTCCTCGAGCTTGCACAAAAGGAATTTTTCTCCGTGCAAATCCAGTTTACACAGAGAAGCATAGACAGCCGACAGCTTTGCTTATCTGTAATGTGTCATTTGGTGCTATGAAATTATACAAAATGATGGCATGATTTATGAACATATGCTTTCATTCATATTTAGGGTGAAAAAGCTCCTTTCCCACAGTTTTCTTGCCAGAAGAGCTCAGCAGCTGTGTATGAATAATTTTGTAATTGAAGCTGTCAGACAGGACGAATGAGAAGAAGCTTTGAAAACTGTTTTACCCCTGTTTAATGTCATCATCTGGGTATTATTCTAACAAAAAAAGGAAAACTAAACAGTGATATCGTTATGAGGCATTGGGCCTTTTGAGCAAATTTAAAGAAATTTAGATAAAAGGCAGCAAATGACACATGTAGCTAGACCTGAAACTGAAACCACAAGAGAAACCAAGACAGCTGAAGTCCTGGATTTGAACCAAAGACCATTGCCAAGCATGACCAATAGGGGACACACTGCCTCCAGCCGGGAGGGACCTCATCCTCCATGCTAGTCTCCTCCTCTGACATTTAAAGCAGCAGCACAAGGGAAGTGTGTCTAGCGGAGAGATGTTAAAGATGATAGAGGGATAGAGGAGTCCATAGTCAGTGGGGTAGATACAATAAAAAAGTAGGAGAGATATGTTCCTTAAGCTTTGTACTTGTGTACTGAAAAAAAATAATCATACAATTAAGTATAAAACACAATTGTACTAACACTAAATAAGAGGAGACATTTGTGTGCCAAACCAGGCCTTAATGTTTATTGATAACATAAAATGTGGTTTAAGGATGTTATACATATGTTAAAAAATATAAGTTTGAAAAAAACAAAGAATTGGGCTGAATATTGAAGAGGCTAGCCAGCCACAGTTGTCAGAGGGAGCTCCTTTTTCCTTTCCCAACTATAAAATGACCACAAAGAGATCAACTATAGAATGACAGAAAATGTGCTATGAATATGAAAATACGTAAGAACGCATTGTGAGGCAAAAAAAAAAACACGAGCCTCTATAGAACAACTACAGAACAGCCAAAGATCAAAGATTAATGTAATCCAAACAGAGCACAGACCCACACAACGAACTAAAAGGAGACAATACCAAACCAGACTCAAAAAAGGACTGAAAACACCAGTACATTGATGCAAGGACCACCAAATTTGAAGGAAATATTACGCAAACAAGTATTGAAAGACACGTAAACAGAGACACAAAACAGAAGCCAACTATCTCAGAATGTTTAGTTGTGGATTTTTATCTTCTTTAATCTGGCTGTCCGAGTCCTTTATAGGATTACGGAGCTGGCTTGGCGTGTGTTTGCCAGAGCAGGGCCTGTTGTATCATGAAGTCGGCTGCTTCTGGTCTGAAAGTGGAGGGCATGGTGCTGTTTGGTGGGGGGGGGGGTGGTTGTGTATTTGGCTAGGGAGTGGACAAAAGCAGTGGCACAGCCCTGAACACTGGACCCACGCGATAATATTAGACCCACTCTGAGTCATGAGAGATTTGTTCCCCCCCGCTGCTGTGCCTCACTTGTCCACCCCAGCTGCCTCTGTCCATCCATCCATCCCTTTTCCCCCCCGTCTAAAAATACTCTCCGTCTCTCACTGAGGAAAATCCCTCTGCCTTGACCTAGCTTGAACGCACAAACTTACAGGCCGCAGCTGGTCTTCCCCTCTGCTGTGGAAACTTTCCTCAACCCCCCCCCCCGCCCGCCTCCCGTAATACACCCGATGAGACACACTTTTCCTGGGTGTGCTGGATGATGCAGCCGGAACTCAGGAAGTGACTTGACTCCAAACTATGAACGCGGTCTCCAAATAGGAGATTTCTGAACCAACACGTGTCGTTTTCAATCCACCTGCAGGAGATAGAAGCGATAGGGGAAGAAAAAAAAATAAAGATAAGGCTGTTCCAGTGATATTAACAGTTAAGATCAAAGTCTACAGGTGCTAGCTATGAGCAGTGAGATAGAAGGCTTTGCATAACCTTCTGCTGCATCACCACAGGCGCTTTGCATGTCCTGTCTCACCCTCTGTCTGTCTGTCTGTCTTTCTGTCTGCAACTGAATGTCTGTCTGTCTGTCTGTCTGTCTGTCTGTCAAAGAGGGAAGAGGGAGGGTTGACTAACTATAGAGGAAGCAGATCTGTGTTACAACAACCCAGGGTTGAGAAAGCCGTGCTGTCTCCATGTGGATTACTGCCAGAGAGAAAGAGAGAGAGCAAGAGAGAGAGAGAGAGAGAGAGAGAGAGAGAGAGAGAGAGAAAGAGAGGGAGGGGAGAGAGAGAGGAGAGCTGTCAATGAGAGCCCCTGCCGTTGTGCGGTTGAAACTGTAGCTTTCACATCGTGCGTTTTATAGCGTGCTCGAATGACAGAGAAGAGCCCAGAGAAGTCGGTTCCTCTTAAACGCTGCCTTCTTTGTGACCACATCGGCACACAGCTCTCTTCTTGTCGGCGGCACATGACGACGCCTCTCCGAATGAGAGTGCGTAATTCAACTTCCAGCAAATGAGCGCGTGCCGTAGCTCGCGTCGGGTTCATCAGCAGCTGAGGCACAAGAAGAAGAGGGAAGCCTTATAAGGAACAGGGTGGGGGGGGGGGCAAGCGGGCTAAGTTGGACTATTATCTTTTGTCGCCCTCTTTGTGAAGGGGTTATTTGACTCGCAGAAGGGATGACTTCGGTGTGGAAAAGGCTACAGCGCGTAGGCAAAAAGGCTTCAAAGTTTCAGTTTGTCGCTTCTTATCAGGAACTTGTTTTGGAGTGCACCAAGAAATGGTGAGTAAAAGTTTCCCTGCCGTCATGTAAACGTTACCCACTGTTTGAAATGTACACACTCATGTCGTTTGTTGTGTTATTAGCGAGTAAAACTCGTTTTCGGGTCATGTCAAGTCGCATGTTGTGAGTCTCCGCTGTTCTGGCATAGATGAGGGCGTCTCTGGGTTCGGCGTGTGGGAGGGCGCGGGTTCGATCCCCGACCACACCTCTGAGTGTCAATGCGACAGTAAACACATCAACAATACCGTTCTTTATGCCTTAAGTCATTTTTATCTCCACCATAACAAGCACAGCAGGGGAGATAACTCAACTAAAAAGTGTCACCGTCTCTTCTCTGTGTTGCTCAAGTAGGAAATGACCTAGAGATTTCCTATCGAATATAGAAATCCAAATACAACCAACCAGGCTTAGTTGGTGAGACACACTCTGGGCATGCTTTACAGTTAGCTTTTGATTATTTCATCATGAAATGTCTTGCAATTTTAGAGAGGCAAATAAACCAACTGCTTTGTGACTTTCCCTTAATTGGCAATATCCTGATGAAATAATAATAATACCTTAACAACACAAACCAAACCTTGTAGAGGCCTGTTACTAAATAAACAGAATCTCTACATATAGTAGGATTCCATCCAGTTCTGAGTTCACCAGTGTCTTTAAACCTTTGCCCGGGTGTCTTGGTTGGCCCACGTTGCGCCCTCTTATCTGTGGAGATTAAAGGGTCCAATAATTGTGCAAGTGGCTTGTCAGCAACATGATAAGAAATACAGATGAGTTTTAATTGATTGCTCTTGGCAGGGAACAGTTGGACAAGATCAGAAAGCTTGCGGAGGAGGCAGTGTTCTTTTGAAACTGTGAAAGATGCAGTGAACAGGTGCTACAGTCTGTACAACTCAAACATAGAAACAATCGTAAAGAGAGTCGTTGTTCTAATTTAAAATTATGATTTGAAAACATTCACACGTCATACTGACGGCTGAGGCGCCTTTGTATGAGATTATTTGCAAGTGCCGATCTACCACCGCTCATATCCATCAGCAGCTGCTAGAGACCAAAAACGGAGCACAAAGAGAGCAAATATTTGACTGGTTTTAATTGGAATTTGCTCTGTGGCTTGAAACACAAATACATTTGACTTTTAATCCTCTTTCATGAGTGATAAATATGTTTTTTAGCGAATCATTCCTAAGTAATGCCGGAACAAATGGCCATCTCATGGTATTGAACGATGACTTCCGGGCTGTATAATCACTTCCTGCAGGTTTATGTTTTCACTCTTGATAGCACCAACAGTGATGTTTTGTGGGGGCAAAAAAACACACAGAGGGAACAAAAAGATAGGACAGCAGTTATAATGCTATTATTGCTGAGGGACAATGAAGAGCAAAAGTCATAATTGAACGAGTCAGCAACCAGACTATTTTTGGGCCGCACTCGGAATGCTTCATGGGAAGGGACCACGACAGAGGCTAGCAAGTTACTGCTTTCACCAAGGAAACAGCTCCATTTAGATACCTAAATATATGTTGCTGTAATAGTGTGACAAGTACTTCAACCATAATGCATAAAAAGAAATTGCCTTTCCGAAATGTGATTTACGATAATAACATGTTACCAAGCTTAATCACACCACCGGTGTCTGTGAAACAAGTCTCAGTCCTCTGCCGTTGGCCATTGGAACTGTAACCGCTTCATTTTCATGTCATGTCACTGTGTTGTCCTCCCCTTTTCCTCCATCCTCATCCCCCCCTCCAGCATTACCCCCACCGTCAGCCTGCCAGGCTATTTCTGATGCAGCTCCCGACCCACTAACACAAATACCACATAAAACACACGTGCAAACGAGCTTGATTAACTATTAACTTGAACTCTGTTGCGCTGAAACTTGGGGAACATGAGACAACGTTCCGATTGTCACGATCTTAGCATGTTCTTGGTCAGCAGTGATGTTGGAGGATTCACAAAGCATTGGTCTCGCTAAAATTTGCCTCCATCGGCGTGAATCTTTGTTCTCAGATGAAGGGGGTTCCTTCTTCCTGTAGAGAGGTGCACCTCAAAGCCAGGTCACGTGACTTTCGCGCTTCCTCTTTCACTTCCTGTACCAAACAAGACTGAGTGCATACAATTACAAGCACATGATGAAGTGCTACCAGCGTGCACGCATTGTGTTGCCTTATTAGAGATAAGACGGCGCTTGACATTGCTATAGATACAGATCAGCAAATTAATCATATTAGCATTCACTCAGAACATCTGCTTATACACACACACACACATACACACTGTGCTGTGACTCACTAGCGTTATCAGCAGTCCCTGTCATAAGACCTCGTGGGTCACCATGTTTCATCTGTTTTGCATAATGTTCACTTTGTTAGAAGGCACTGTTAAGGTTAAACGTGAAGATGTCGTTTACAGTCTCTTCATGAGCTCGTCCAGTCTGTGCTTGAATGTATATGGATGGGTACGCACGTACCAATGTGCGAATGGTCAAATTTCCACGGGACACCAGTAGGCAAGCTGTCATTCCTGTTTTGCTGTGTTTGTGTGTTTCTTAAGGCAACCAGACAAGCTAAGGGTGGTGTGGACCAGGAGGAACAGGCGCATGTGCTCCAAGGTGAAGCAACAGGGGAAAAAAAGGAAAAAGCACACACACACACACTCTGTATACACCACCGCATTGTTGACATAATTGTAGCCCTAAAACCAAGTTAGGACCAGTGAAAACAAGTCCTCATACAGATAATCTAAAGCATAAGACAGATAAGTGAAACTACTGACGTGCAGTTGTGTTAACGTGGTTTTTGTTGTGCAGCTCCATGGCTGGCAGCCTGGAATCAAGAACCCCTACAGGGGCATGGTGGTGTGGCCCGTCCCAGAAAACGTCGACATCTCTGTCACTCTCTTCAAGGTATAAAACCGACAGAACACGGTTTACAGTAGAGACGCACTAAGAGGTGGGAAAAGAACACAGAGTCTGGTTAAATGGAGAAATGTTTTTTTAAGAATGTCAGCTGGAAGAGGCTCCAGCCCCCCCATGACCCTATGAAAAATCATCAGTATGGGTAATGGATGGATGGCTGTTTTTTTTAAATGCAATGTAGTCTAGACTTTTCGTGGGTTTCTCTGATGATGATTTTGTCATCAGGTCAAGTGACTGGTAGCTTGTGTTTCTCACTGTTGACCATTTTATGTCCTTCAGACCAAATCCAATTTCATGTCCATGCATAACATCGGTGACGTCACGAGTAATGTTACAAAGCCCATAATTTAACAACAGCAAGTTAGGTATAATCCCAGAGCCCTTATTTAAGCCGAGGCTTTATGATAACAAGTCTTTGTCTCACTGGAGTGCTGTGGCTTTGTAAAATCAGATGGGGATGGAGAAGTAGAAGGCATTGCTTCCCTACACAAATAACCTTTTTTAGCCAGCAGCTGTTGTAAGAGACCACTGTTTCTACACAGGTGAAGATTGTCCCCTATTTGTGGTATTGTGTGCACTTAATGTCAAATTTCGAAAAAACGAGAAATACATGTGATAGAAATTAATTCAACTTCACTTTTTCTCCATCGCTGCTATACTGAGCTGTCTGCCTGGTGTGTGAGAGGCTAATTCACTGGAAAACACAGAAATAGCCAGCGTTTTTTCTTTTAAATATACTTGGTGCTGTGACAAAAATGTGAATGGTAATAGTTGCAGAAAAAACAGTGGAGTGGAATATACAGAGACAAAGCATTTGTATATTAACTGTCTGAGTACAGAAGAAAAGCAGGGCGCTCATTCAGACTGGTAGCTGATGTATTCACTGTTAGATAAAAAAAGGAAAGTGCACACAGTTTAACATTATTGTAATTGAAGGAAATTCAAATGTATTTAACATTATGATAAGACTTTATTTGCACTTGTGACATAAAGAGGCTGTTATACAAGGAAAGGGATGGAACAGGTAAACGAATGGACGTGTGAACATTCTGGTAAAATATTTGATTAAACAAACATTTGTTATCATCCCGCCAGGAGCCCAATGCAGATGAGTTTGAGGACAAAGAATGGACATTTGTCATTGAGGCTGTAAGTACCTCTGCACTTGCAGTGATGAAATAATCCACATTATTCTGCCTATGGAGCAACTAAGCATGTTTGAACTTTTACACCTCTATGTAAGAATCAGACCAAATGCATTTTAAACATAGAGATAAAGTATCATACAAAGCATCCTGAGCATCTGAACCGTCTCTGTCGTTTATTCACAGGAGAACAAGGGTCACCGGAAGGTCCTGGCGTCTGCTGACATCAACCTGAAAAGTTTTGCCAGTCCCACAATGAGCCAGACGGACCTGACCCTGAACCTGAAGCCGCTCTCTGTCAAAGTGGTGGAAGCCACGCTCAAGCTGTCGCTGTCGTGTGTGTTTGTCCGTGAAGGAAAAGCCACGTGAGTGAATGAAGTTAGTTTACTGCGGTTCTGAGGTTCCATTAACCTGCATGCTGTGTATGTGATGTGTAGGCAGTGGCAGGAGTGTCTCTGTCCTAACTAATGGGTCTAGAAATATACTGTTACCCTGATGTGATGTCTGTCCAGATGTTTGCCCTTCAGCAGTAAAGACTTGAATGTGTGCTTTGATAGATTGAATTGAAATGTCTCTCTTATAATTTGAGGTTAGAGGTTACAAAGTAAACTCCTGGAGCTGTGTAGAAAATGTAACCATTCAAATGGGTTCGAGTTCATTAAATGGCTTATGAATAGATGTCATCGACAAGAAATGTTCCACTTTTTCCTCAGTGATGAAGACATGCAGAGTCTCGCCAGCTTGATGAGCGTCAAACCCACAGACATCGGGAACCTGGACGACTTCAATGAAAGCGACGAGGATGAGGACAAGAAGTCTGTGACTGCTTCAGGTTGGCAGGCGTCTTTCAACACTATCTTTCCCCCCTGATATTCATTTTTTTCTTTCCAGCTGTCACAACTCTGACATTTCCTTCTTCTCGCACTTGATTCTTGTTTCTCATTCTGTTCCCCTCGTCTCTTCTCTGGCTGCTGCAGCAGTCCCACACACTCTAACTCGTCCAAATCGCCCCGCCCCCCCTCCACCTGACAAGCGAAACACTGCAGGAGCTGCTTTTCCGGCTTCAGGTAGCTTTACTTCCATCTCACTCGTCTCTTGCCAGAGCAGAGGAGGTGTGAAGAGGAGCGCTGTCTGTCTTGTCTGCGTCTGCCTGTCGCTGTCAGGGCGGCTCGGTTCTCATTGCAGTATTTCACACGCATCTGTCGCTTCCCTGCCGTCCTCCCCAAAAACATTCTTTGAATACCACATGCTTCGAACTTAGACATTAGATTCGACAGAGAAACATGTGACGATAGACTGCCAATAATGTGTGTCTGATGGCATGATAGATTCTAGCTGCAACTTTGTACAAAGAGGTTTCTGTGTCACATTACTGTGACAACATCTAAAAGGAGAATGTTCAGCATGATGACAGCTCATATGACCACAACTCATAAGATCAGGGTGCTGGCTTCTGATGTTTATTTCTTTGAAGAATTAAATAATTCATAGCTTATTTAGCGTTTTCAATTGTGATTAACTTAAATAGTCAAACATACTCATAATAGCAATGTTGCTATTGTGCTATTTGTCTTAAATGTAATGGACTAAGTTACCTGTGCTGACTGGGTTGTAGAGCAAAAGGCAAGAGCGTTAGAACATGAAAATACAAAATATTGACCCATGGTGTGCATTGTTTTTTGCTTTTGCTGTTCATACTCGTACAGCATTTCATACTGCAAGTCCAGTCAATATATCTCATCTGAAGACACGATCCAGCGCTGGCTTGCAGACTAGAGCTGTTTCGACTTGTGTTGCTAATTACTGTTTTCTTTTCTGCTATTTGGCAGCCAAGTCATAATGAGACCAAACATCATATTGCATTTAAAAGCCAAGTGAAATGCAATGATCTTTCATCTTCCCACTTTAGAGCTCATATGAGTATGACATTTAGATTCAGATGATCAAAAGTAATGCAATGACCATTAAATGGACACTGATTCCAACTCAGCTCAGTTTTTTTAGGGTTCTGTTGTGGGTCAGTCAGACATGCCAGTCATGTTGCTTGACAAAGCATCCTTAGGACAGTTTATCCATTATATATCACGTGCCTGCATCAGTAATCTAATTTTACGTCTCATTTCATTGCCATCTAAAGTTCATTTGCTTTTCTTTCTGTCTTTTTCATTTTTGTCTCCTTCCACAAACACACTGTTTATCAATCCATCCATCCATCCATCTTTTAACCCTGCCTCTGGATGAAATGGGGGTCCTCTATCTTCAGCAGTCCACTCTCGTCCTCCTCTACCCATTGCCCCTCAGCCCTCACCCCGTCGCTCCCGACATGCTGCCCCCGGTGGCTCTGTCCAATCAGAACCTTACCTTAGCCCCTCTCCTCAGCCCTCACCTAGATCCAAGCATAAAAAAACAACCAATACTGCTGTCTCCGAGTCTTCGGCTGTTTCTGATCCTCCAAAGATCCAGGTCACAGCAGATACTCCATCAGTCCAAAGTGTCTCCTCTGACACTGCCCCCTCAGATGTTGCTCCCCATCCTCCATCTCCTAAAAGCTCCAGCTCTGCTTCTACTTTACCCCCAACCTCCTGTGCATCTTCATTAGCAATGGCATCGGTTCCCTTTAATTCTTCATCTAGTTATAAAGATACTGCAAAAACAAATGAAGCCTTTACCAGGTCCTCACTATCATCAACTGAAACTACAGTAACATCTTCTTCCATGGCCTCCCAAACATCATCTCTAATTGTATCCACAAGTGTGACCCACAAGCCCATCTCTATCACCACAAAGCCCCCCCCAACCAAAACTTCCTCTCCACAAAAACTCATTCAGTCCTCTGAATCTCCATCTGCTCACCCATCCGTCACCTGGACCATCTCTCAGCCTCCCTCTCTGCCCCGAATCTTCCAGTCAGGCTCAGCCAAAGGTACCAAGAGCCTGGCCGGTAGACAGGCGTGCTAACTGATAACCGATTCCTGATGCGGAATGGCCTGACATGACCTTGTTTTCCATATAATCTTGCACCATGCACGCAGAACAAAGCCATTAACTGAATGTGTCATGCTACTAATGTATAAAGTGGTGTGACGTGTGGGAGCATTATGCATGTTGAAGTTGTCATGATGTCTTAATACAGAGTTAACATCTATTAGTTAGTCAGTGCTGCTGTACATCGACAAACAGCAAAGAACTGCATGTCTTTTTTCATTTTGGTCTATTTGTCTGTAGTAGCTTTTTAGAAATTGACCAATGCAAGCACAAGTCAAGACACAAAACAAGCTCCAACATAGCCACTGGACAGCTTTTTTCTTTGATGCGGATGCATGCTATATTGCTCCACTCTCTCTACTAGTCTCACATTTGTATGCCTCCTCTATTCCCTCTGCACTTCCCTCATCTCCACAGCTCCATACCAGCAGCGCCCCCCAGAGGTTCCCAGTGCAGATGATTCTGCCTCAGTCTCTGGTGTGTGCTTGCTCCGACTGTCCAAACCACAGTGATGCTTATCTACCCCTGCTACTTACCATAAATCTCAACAATTTTCTTAGATTCTCTTATTTTTCCTCCATATCAGGTTCCTCTCACATTTTCAGACCTCAGGTTGTTAAATCCTTTGCCCGGCCCACCTCTCCCTCTCCTTTTTCTGCTGATGCTGCTCAGCTTGCACAAACACCACCTGTCCCTAAGTCTTCCACTTCTAGATCAGAGCCAGGTAACTCATGTAAACAGTATTCCATTCTCTTATTCCTTCTTCCCCCCTTTTATCCGTCTTCTCCCAGAGTCTAACCTTTCCTGTCCTTCTTCTCTGTCTTACTCAGGCACTCAGGGGGTGAAGCTCCCTCCTGACTTTTTAACAGGTGGCGACATCACCCCAGTCCCTCTGTTGACTAGTCCAGATCTTGATGCTCTCTGGGAACCAGAGACTTCAGCCTCTTCCACTACCCTTCCACTCGCTGCTTCCTCCCCCAGCTCTTCTCTTCCCACCCATACCCAAACTTTCCTCTCCTCCCCTATCTCTGTCACTCATCCTTCTGCTCCTCCTGCTCAGATCAGCTCCTCTCAGTCAGGTATACTTGGCCATAAAACAAAGTGTCTCTTGTCTTTTCTGTTTCAGCCTTGAGTGATTTAAAGGCTCCTCACTCCATGCTATCATCTTTGCGAAAATGTCAAAGTACCAGCGGCCTTTTCTCTCTTTTCCTGAAGTGACGACTCTTATGAAATAATCTGTTACCTTGCTTTTACCTTTTATAGGCTCAACACCGTACCTCTCTCAGCTGAATAAAGAGACAACTTTAAGCCCTGCGAGCCAAGGCAAAGGTTCTTCTCCAAATGGCCAGGCAGTGACAAACAGCAGAATACCTAACCAGCCAGTCAAAGCAGCCCTGGATTCAAAGGTGGCCTTCACAGAAAAGAAAGCGGGATCAGGAAAGATAAGGTGAGTTCATGAGATGCCTTAGACCTTTCCTCTGAAAAACCTAGAGAGAAATTAAGCTTCAAGGGCATCTTTAGGAGCCGGAAAGAAGCGGTAAAGTGGGTGAAACTAGTTGAAAATGGAAAACTCTGAGCAAAGAAGATACATCTAGTAGAAACCAATGATATCTTATATTTGTATGTTGGCTGTAGATGGGTTGTGTTCACAAGTTTGACAGTTGTGCAAAATATTTGCTGTTTTTTAATGTCAGATTTCTCTTTAAATGTGAAATTACTGCCTGTGGCCTTCTGTAGCCTTAAATACCTTCAATTCAAAAGAACTGCTTGCTGTTCTTTGTTCTAATGTCAGAACATCAACTCTCTTCACCATCACAACTCAATGCTTGAAAAAGGGATTTTTTTATTAGTTCAGTTGCTTAAAATATCTAGAAACTCACCAAACGTGTGCAGCAGTCCCACACTGCCAAAGGGCAGTTCTGTTTATGCATTAGCTTAAATTGTAATTACGTGGTGTACATTTTCTGTAGTGTTTTGATCAAGTGAATTGCATAAATATTGCTTGCATGTAAATGAGCTTTAGTTGCTGTGGTTTAACCTATAACAGAAGAGTGTAAAACAAACGTGGGCATGTCTGGGATTTGCCCATTTTGCAACAAGACAGACATGAGCTCAAATATTGCTCATGTCCCGTCATGCCGCGCTGCAGTTGTTCCAACATGTTTTTAGAGTGTATTGGTTCAGATTTCATTTACCTCTAACTTCACAAAGTTCTCACCTTCAAAAGTGACTAAAAGGATAGATAGATATGGTGTGTGTTGATTTGTTTATCGTTGACTCAGGCGTTGTTATAACAGCAGAGTTGGGAGAATCTGTAGAACATCTTGCCAGCATTCATAATGATCTGAATGCCCCCAAGCTAACCCCCCCCAGTGTGCTCCAGTTTGCTGATTCATGCTGTTGTATAACGATGTGTGGATCAAGGATTCTGTGAATTGTTGATCTGCAACTCATCAACACTGTGTGGCTGTTTTCTGCTCGCTGTTTGAGCTTCCTGGATGCTAACATGTGCCAGCAGAAGCAGTGTGCTTAGCCGTCTGCCCAGCATGGACGCAGTGTCCCCAATGGCCTGTCTCACACTCAGCCTTTTGAGATCTCACCTGCTCATGTGTCAAGCCTGACTGCGAACATTTCTATCCATAGTCCTGCCCAGTCCCGCTCAGAGCTGATAATAGCCCCGCCCCCTCCTTGGCCTTTCTCCTGCTGTGAGCAGTCCAACACAGCACAGTCCTCCACCACTGTCGTGGCAGCTTTTATCACCCATAAGCTGCCAAAAGTTGCGGGGCAAACCGATAGGAACAAGCCCACCAATGAGAGTGTTAAGAGTCCTGATAAGGTCCAAAAGGTGCCCCTGGCAAAGCCTGAGCCTGACTTTGATGACATCAATAATGAGTCACTTAACCAAAGTCAAGAATCAGGGGGCTTGTTTCTGGAAGAGGATGACTCAAAGCGTGATACTATCAAACGGTGTCCACCAGGGTGAGTATGTATTTTTGATTAAATAATCTAGATGTAAATAATGAGCAGTGAAAAGGTTTCGGGGTGTGGATGGATGATGCTGACGTAGACTCAGAGACACAGAATTAAGGCATGTTGTTTATCTGTTCTGCAGTCTTGAACAGAAAACCAGTGAGGAAAAAGCATCACTGACAAAGCAGTTAGAGGGAGCTGCGGTGGGGAAGGAGCAGGGGAGGCAGAGGGAGTCAGACATTCACGGTGAACAAGTGGAGGAGCGGAAGAAGAAAGAGGAGGACCAAAAAGAGATGCTCTTGAAGCAGGAGGAGAAGAAGAAACATGAGGAAGAGAAGAAGAGACTGCTGGAAGAGGAGAAGCGGAGACTCTTACAGGAGGAGGAAGAGGTGAAGAGAGAGAAAGAAAGAAGGAAACGTGAAGAGGAAAGACTTCTGAAGGAGAAGAGGGAAAAACAAGAGCGACTGAGGGAGGAGGAGGAAAGGAGAAAGAGGGAAGCAGACGAGAGGAATAAAGAAGAAGAGAGGAAGATCCTGGAGCAAAAGAAAGAAAAGGAAAAGATCCAGAGGGAAGAGGAGAAAAGACTGGAGAGAGAAAAACTCATGGAGAAAATGAAAGAGGAGGAGAGAATGTTACTGGAGAAAAAAATGCTGGAAGAGCAAAGAAAGAGGAGGGAGGATGAGAAAAAGAGGCTGTTGGAGGAGGAAGAGAGGAAGAAGATGGAGGAAAGAAAATTGAAAGAGGCCAAAGAGAAGGAACAACAAAAAATGATAGAGGAGGAAAAGAGAAGAAAGCAGGAAGAGGAGGAAAGAAACAAACTTGAGAAAGAGAAAGAGAAGATGAAGAGAGATGAGGAGGAGAGAAGACAAGAACAAGAAAGAAAGAGGAGGGCAGATGAAGAAAAAAAGAGAGCGGAAGAGGAAGAGAGAAAAAGGGCCAAAGAGGTGGAAGAAAGAAGAAAGAGGGAGGAGGATGAAAGACAAAAAGAGAAAAAGAGAAAGGATAAGGAGGATAAGAGAAAAGAAGAGGAGAGAAAAAGGCTGGCGGATGAAGAGACTAAGCGTAGGCAAGATGAGGAAATAAGAATCAAAGAAGAGAACGAGAGAAGAAAAAAAGAACTGGAAGAAAAGCAAAAGAAGGAGAAACTTTTAAAAGAAGAGAGAGATAGAATCGCTAAAAACAAAAAGGAAGAGGAGGAGAAAAAGCGCAAAGAAGATGAGAGGAGAGAGCGACTCTTAAAGGATCAGAAGGAAAAGGAGAAGCAGAAGGAGGAGGAGGAGGAGAGGAAGAAGAAACAAGACGAAGAGAAGAAAAGGAGGGAGGAGGAGGAGAAAAAGAAAGCAGTCAGGAGACTGAAGGAAGAAGAGGACAGGAAAAAGAAAGAGGTAGAAAGCAAAATAAAGGAGAAGGAGGTGGCGGAGAGCAGAAGAACCAGAGAAGAAGAGGATCACAATGCTCTGGTGTGCAGAGTCGAGGTCAACAAGTCAGATGAAGACAAGGAGAGGATGAGGACTGCTGCTCCTCCCAGTTTAGACTCACAAGCCCTTCTCAGAGATGCAACTCAGACTCTGGTTCCCGCTCCACACTTCCCCCCACTGGTCAAATCTAATCCTGCAGCCGAGCAGCTGCCCCCACAATTACCCAGCCAATCACAGGACAGACAGCTGACCAGCCCAGCAGCAAATAAACCAAACTCTGCCTCCAATCAGCGGTGAGTTGCAGCCCTGAAACCATGACTTTTGGTGTTTGTTGCTCTGTGTGGTTTGGCTGTTTGGCTTTCAAAAATGGGCAAATAAAATCAGTCACCCTTAAACCTTGACAACTCCCCTTGAATCGGCTCCCAGTTGATTTGACTGTCTGTTATTTGTTGATCTATATTTCTCTGCTGACGTAAACAAAAACGGACTGAATTCTGTTGTGATTCTCTTCTCGTCTTCTTTGTTTGTCTGTGGTGATCGCACTGTCGCTGCCTGCTCGCCTAAAGCTTCATGATACGTCACTGTCGTACGGCTGACAACATCGAAATATACCAAAATATACCAAAATATACCAAAATATACAACCCTCTTTCCCAGAAAGTGAAGAAAAATCATTCAAATGTATTTATCCAATCTGACAAAAGACCATGATCCTTTTCAATGAAAAACTTGATTGTTTTGACTCCTCTCTTTTACATGTCAAAGCTCTGTGTAGTACAAAACTTGCCTGCCCATTCACACAGTTCGTCTAGCACAAATTTTCCTAATTGTATGTGTTCTTTGTCATAGACATGCTCACAGTAGAGTTCAGGCAGCAAACCATCTTGTAAAGATTTTCCATCCATTCATTATCGTAACCGCTTATTCCCTAATGGGGTCGCAGGGGGGACTGGTGCCTATCCCAGTGGTCACTGGGCGAGGGGCGGGGTACACCCTGGACGGTCCGCCAGTCCATTGCAGGGCCACACAGAGACACACAAGGACAAACAACTATGCACACTCACTCTTAGGGGCAGTTTGGAATGTCCAATCAACTTAATATTTTCTTGGAAATGGGGTTGGATTTATACCAGTCTTCTCATACAGAGCTGTGCTTGTCTGAATAACCCCAGCAGATTTGAACTCCAACAGCACTTTTTTTTATGCACTACTGCATCCAAGCTGCTCCCAATTATACAAACCTTTGGATGTCAGTGTAAACGTCAGTGATTGTATCCTCTTCTACTCTTGATATCAGCTGGACTCTGATATGTTTCTGTTTCTCTCTGTTCTTTTCTGTTTTCTTCTTTTTTCCCCCTCCTCGTTCTAGTCTGACGCAACCCTCTCCCGTAAAGGAAGGTGCACTGTCAAACAATGTTGTCCAGGAAAAGACATTATCTGCCACATGTACTCCATCTGGCATCTATTCAGGCGCCATTTTTCACCAGTCTGCTCAGAATAAACCTCTGACATTAGAGATCTTGACGTTGGTGCCACCTCCACAGAGGATGTTTGATGCAGAGACTCCTCTATGGAAAATGCTTGAAGGAACAACTGATTCATCTGAAAAAAGCTCTGTCAAAGAGAGTACAAATCCTTTGTGTGGAGGGTAAGAACAGATGAGGGACATTTTTTCTGCTGGCTTCTCTGCTTCAGTCTCTTGTTTTTGTATTTGTGGTTGTCTGCCTAGCTAATGGCTGTCTTCTGAATAACCAGGGAATACGAAAAGTGTATTTATATTGGTGTTTTTCTTCTGTTCTAGCTCACCCTCGGAAGATGTTGCTGATGGGGACGCCCCTGTGAGACAGGAGAAGCAACCGGAAACAGCAAAGGATTCAGATAAACATATAAAACCATCGGCCACTCACACCGTCTCACCACCTGTTCAAGGGGAGCCCAAAGAGCCGGAGAAACCCACCGTTCAGACACCAGCCTCTTTCAAGCCTCCCCCCGAACCCGCTGGCGAGCCGACCACTGTGTCGCTGGAGCCACAGCTCCCCTCAAAACCAGAACCAGAGCCTCAGCTGGAACAAGATCCTCAGCCGCAAGGCGAACTGCAGATGGCGGGTACAGCCGAGCAGAAAGGAGATGATGTTATGGTTGGCGATCAGAAGAGTTTAATGGGCAAAGCGAAGCCGCTGTGCGATGCAGAGAAGCAGCTGTGGGCATCTGTGGAGGAGACCACAGCGGAGATGGCGGCAGAACAGGAGATGGAAACTAGCAAAAGCACGGAGGACAAGGAGGAGAAGCAGAAAGAGGAGGAGAGTGTGATAGGGGGGTGAGTCAGTGATGGTCCGTTGCCGTCTCTGCAGCATGGCGCGACAACACACGCAAACGCGAGCCTGCACATGCGGTCACTAACATTTTTCCACAGCGCTGCAGCCTAATCACTACAAATCAGTCGCTGCGAATAACCCCATCAGAAGCTGCTCTGCGCTGCGCACTAATCCCCCACGCTGTTTGTCCTGAACATTTCAATCGAAGCGCTCTGATTCCAGCTTTCCTGTAAAAATGTGCGTGTGTTTTCTGTTTGCCTGTGGCAGTGCACAGACAGAGGCAGGTGTGTGTGCTGCAGAGCAGCAGAAGGAGGCGCCTGCTGGCTTCATGTCAGCAGTAGCTGGGGTGTTGTACAGAGGGTGAGTCCTTCTGCCTGCCGGTGTGGTTGAATTTCTTTTAAGTGTTTGATTCAGAATGCATTTCAAAGCAAATTATACTTAGACTTAGAAAACTGTGCTGCTTGTACGAATGTGAGAGCTCCCGTGGCATTTAATGCACCATTATATAAATTGGTCCTGGAGTGATCTTTGTAAACCTTAACCGTAAACATTCTGAAGAAAACAAAAGTGGAAATGATTTTTCCTCCATTTATGCACAAACTGTTTAGACAGTAATTTCCTACCTCACAGGAAGTGGTTGGAAATTATTTCATGCTTGACGAGCCTCAACACCATTTTTTTTGTGATCCTTACAAAATGAACTCTATTCATGCACGTATGTGAAGAATGGTTCAGATTACTGTTATTTAAAGCAGGTTTTCTCTGACACCTGATAGTCATCACATGACTGAAAACACCTTCCTCTAATGTCACCCTCAGTTGAGCTCCTAATCTAGATAGACATATAAACAACACCAAACTATTTTCTTCTTATTAAATTACCATCTATAGTGTCTTTTTTGTATCATTAGATCAAATTGATTAAGTCTCTCTATATCCTTGTTGTGTATTCACATCTAATTGTGTTTGAAGTCATATTTCAGAATAGTAGAAAAATTTAATATTTTCTTAATTTTTCTCAAACTTCCACACACTTTTGGAGATACATTCAAGAGTATATGTGTTCCCTCTCATTGTGATCCATAGTGCATCATGCTGCGGGTGCTAGTTCTTGATTTGACATAGTTTTATACACACATTCACTGACTAGCTTTGAAAAAAGAATAGACCATCTGAGCTGTTTGAACAGAATTTGTCCTCTTTAAGCAAATCTTCTTGTGTGGTGATCTTAGCTCTCAACCACATGGCACCAGACAGCCTGTTAACCTGCTCCTAATCGTGCCAGTCATGATATAAGTGCCATTGTGTTTGCAACTGGTTCGAAAGCAGTATTGGGTGGTTCTCTTTTGGAAGAAAATGTAGTCCCTTCGGGATGCATTGTGCAACTCCTTGGAGGAGCACCAAAATAAAGTCTGTGGAGGAACTGTTTATTAAGCATGCCGCCTGGCTCTCTGTCACAGGGTTCAGCTGTGGTCACAATGCGGGTCGTTTTAGGGCGAGCTTCGTCTCATGGTTGTCTTGTCCCCGATTTTTGCTCCTTAGCTACGAGACAGTGACCTCCTTCCTGCACACAACTGGATCACATGACACTGGTCATCCACAGCCCTCTGCAGACCAACAATGCCCACTTACAGCTAATGAAAACCAGCCATGTTTACATGAAGTAGAGGCAGAGATTATTTCTTCCGCAGAGCCAAATAACGAGCCACCCAGTATCACCAGCATGGACATTTCACCCCCAAAGGCTTTCTCTGACACAGCAGAAAGTCAGGCATTAACTGAGGATAAGGTTTCCGAGAAGTCACAGATATCAGGCAAGACATCTGGACTCAGTTTTGTGGCAAGTTTGCGACTAGCAGCCACTGAGCAGGAGAAGGAGAGAGAAGAGGAGAGAGAAATGATGGAAAAAGTTGAGAAGGAGGAAAAAGACAAGAAAGAAAGGGAAGAGATGGAGAACGAGAAAGAAAGGCTGGAGAGGGAAGAGGAAGAGGAAAGAAAGAGGCTCGAAAAAAAGAAGGAGGAGCGGGAGAACAGGCATAAGGAGGAGAAGGAAAAGATGAGGGAAATTCAACTACAGAGAGAGAAAACTAGTGAAGAAGAGAAGGAACTGGGCAAGGAAGTCAATGGGGGGGAAAGAAAAGTTATGGAAAATAAAAAGAAGAAAAAGGTGGAGGAGAAAGGTGAGGGAGAGACGCCAACTTGGATGAGGGAAAAGTACTCAGGTCTGTCATCAGCGTCGACCAATCAGAATGTGAGTGGCAGCCAGCAGAGCACCTGTCCTCCACTGAGGGAGGCAGAGCTGGATGAGATTGCGTACGATGAGATGATACAGGGTAAAAGCGACGACTGCAAGTCTGATCCCGAGCTAGTGGGTCCCGCCAGGCCTAACCCTGAGAGCTCTGTCTGTGAGGATAAGAAAACCCTGAGTCGTCCTGGTCAGAGGTCAGTTCAAATAGCTGCCTCCAGCCTTAAGCAGGATGCTGTCCCGGTGTTGCTGAGAAGGGATGAGGAAGAGGAAGTAGAGTTTGAGAGAGGACATGAAGACCTTGGCTCCATCTGGCTGGCTGAGCTGTACATGGAGGGGGAAGCAGGGTGAGTAAGAAATGTAGCAAATAGAGGCAGGGTGAGAGGTGAGTGAGCGTTTGGTGCTTCTTGTGTATGTTTTCACTTTGACGCACTATCAATATTTACTAGAATATTTACTAAACTTGCAATCTTCTTGTGTTAATGAGGGTTTGGCATTTCTCTGCAAATCTTTCTCACGGCTGAGTTGTGTGTCAGCATGACTCATTTCGCAAAGACCATCATCACCATGTGCTTCAATGGCCTTTGCCTTAAGTTTTGAAGTTACAGACACTTGAAGAAACAATAACATTAGCTATCGGTTTTTCAGTTCATAATTCAGTGCCTGAATACACAGGTAACAGTCCTTACCTGTTTAATACTTATATCTTAAGAATAAGTTCAGTGGGCAACTGGGAGTAACCCAGTAACAGCTGTCTGCACAGAAAGTGGGAGATAGATCACGTGAACTGCTAATAGCTAATATGGCATGCTCTTTGTTGTTGTCTGTTTAAATGTGCAGTGGTGTTCTTAGCTGGAAAATGGGAAATAAGACACGGATGCATCTGCATCTAATGTGTTTTTGTTTTCGATTGTCACAGTCTTCATGAAGCAGCAGACAGGCATTCGTTTTATGTGTCCTTGTTGCTAAGTGGCGTGCACGTTGGCATGGCTGTTGGGATTGATTTTGGCCATTGGATTGCTGCTATTCATTTGAGACTGGAGCACGTCAAAACCATTGTAGGGGCAATCTGAGATAGGAAACTCTTGGACCATTAACATTCTGGGAAAAAGGGAAAACATCTGTCCATTTTCAAGCCCCAAATGTGGAGAAAACATTTGCAGCCGTGCTCCCATAGCTCCCATGCTTGAGTTTATTCCAGGTTCTGGCTTTTTTTTAAGATATATGTTGGATCTATCGTTGATCACTTTTATTTCTGTGCACATGAAGCTTTGTGCTCGGTTCTGAATTTTCCTTTTCTGTCCTCAGCCTGGGCCGCCCATCTCCCTCTACTGCTCAGAAGCCCTTTTCACTCCCCCGCAGTGAACAAACTATTTGTCAGAGCTCTGATGCCAGTCAGCCAAATAAACTTGAACTTCCTGAGACCAGTCAGACTAACAGTCCACATCCCAACGCCCCTTTGGTGTCTCAAAAGGAGGAAGCATTCCTCACAAAGACAGGTCACGCTCTGGGGGCTGCATCCAAAGAGGATGGAGAGTTTGATCTATCGTCTGTTGTGCCGTGGCCCCTCCCACCAAACACACACGCTCCAAGCATAGACCGTGACTCCAAATGCGCAGAGACACACTCTGATACGAACACCAGTGAGATGCCTGACCACACAAAGGTAGCCACACACTCACAAGAGAGTCTTGAAACGAGGCCTGACAATGACGAGAGTTCCTCCGTTTTAAAGAAAAACGCCAGCACCTCAAACGCTGACTCAAATGTCCACCACAGCCCCTCCAGAGACCAGCAGCTACAAGAAGAGGAGCGGTTCCTATTAGCTAAACTCTGCCAGATGTCAGGGGACACATCCCCTGTCTGTGAGCCCCGTGGCATGAAACGTCTCATTCCCATACCTGATGACTTTGACTTGGAAACCACAGAGAGTAAAAGCCAATCAGACACCCCCACGGATCTTATTGATCATAGTCAGCACGCAGTTGTCCCCTGCATCGATGCCCTACAGGAAATAACTCTAAGTGAGCCAGAAGAGCTACTGGGGAAGGAGGAACTGTGAGTCAGCAAAGCCTGTAAACTTGTGCTGCTCTGTGAAATGATGTTTGGGTGTCTGGCCTGCGGAGCTGGAGACTCAAGATGCCTGAGTCAGCCTTGTAAAAAACGCAATGCAATAACCATGGCCCACTTAACAAAATGATGAGTTGTCAGAGGCATGGCTTTAGCCTGCTGGGAAGGTGACCTGTTGGATATGTTGGATCTTGAGGCAGCAGAGTTAAAACCAATTGGAAACTTCGTCACAACACTAAGATATTTTTGGCCTCCACAGCTCGGAATTGAAAGCTTTCTTCGTTGTTACTTACATGGCAGCACAACTGATGATTGGAGATTGTTAATGTCTGGAAAGTTAAAGCACACAGTCAAAACTTTTGGTTTCAATGGTTAAAAAAAAGAAGAAAATGGAAGAAAACCCATTGTTCCATTACCAGAGCATTTAGTCGACAGACACCGCGCTTGGCTCAGTAAACTCTGTGTTAAAAAAGATTTAATGTGTTCAGACATGGAATTTTTTGATTGGGTTGATTTGAACTTAATCCAGAAAAGGATCTTTTTCTCAGCAAGTATATGCATGTTGCCACGAAAGCTCACGTGGGCTGCTGAATCATTTCTCTCAGGTTGCTTTCTTTCGCTGATTCTGAAAAGGGTAAGAGACACAAAGAAATGTGTAGGGAGAAGTTTAAAAAAAAAAAAAAAAGCCAGACTCTGCTTTGAAGCGCATCCAGGCCCTGGTTTTAAACGCCTGTGTTTTGCAGTGCACAGTGACGCCAGCTTGCTCAATCTGATCACCGTCGCAAGATTGCCTCGCCCGCTGCTC